CAGTTCCAAGATCGGGCTACTAGTTCAAAAGTTACAGCCCTTTGAATTTTTTTTCGAAATTGGTTTCTAGTCTATAACTTTTTTTTGAGAAGTCTAATCGGAAAAGACCGAATTGTTTTGGATTCTAAGCACCAAAATTAATAAGAAAAAGTGTTTTCCCGAGAAATTTTGGTGCAGTCGATTTTTGGTAAAAAAGGAAGGTTACACACTGCCTTTTTCCGAGGCCCGAAAAAAATTGTCTGAGATCGACCGAGTGGTCTGGAGTACCCCCCAGTGACCCACAAGTATACATTTCAGGAAAGAAGAGCTGGCCCTACTCGTAAGGTACATAAATGTTTCATCCTACTCTGCTGCTTTCCCCATCTTGAGTCTCAGTTCTTCATCCTTGCCTCTACCCATCTCTTCATGCCGTTCCCACTTTCTTTCACTTCCCTTCCCTCTGCTCCTGCTATTTTTTAGCTCATTTTTTAAGAATTAAAAATTAATTTTATCTCCCATTGTATCCTAATGAAAGGTCTCAACGAAAGGAATTAATTTCTACCAACCATAACCCTCCTCCTCGGCCTCTTATCGTGATCGGGTATATTCCCTTATACCTCAAGAACGGATTGTCGGAAGAGGGTACTCACAAAGGGCGATTGAGACGTCTGCAAGAAATATATCCATTGGTGATGTCAAAACAAAAGCTATTTCGGTTAAAAAAATTCGCTTTATCTGCACAATTAAGTTAAATTTAAATGTTAACATTTCAGATCTAGATATTACAGTTTCCTATTTGTAACATTTGATAATTTGATTGAAACCGTGACATCGAACGTACCCTTAAATTATTAAATAAATAATAACCTCGGTCCCCACGTAAGCAAAACAATATAATTACGATTATCATCGTTTCGTGATTGCGCCCCGCCTTTTCCATTTATACCCCCGTCGTTGACGTTTAATTCGATCTTATTTTTTTGTGTATAAATCCAGGTCGAGTTGCGTGCCGATATTAAAACTTGCATAAGAAAACTCCGCACGTATCCAAAACCACAATCAGATTTCGGTTTTCGATTTGACACAGAAACTCGTACATGAATATTTTAATAATAATGACAATATAAATTTTATATACTCTTCGACGGAATATGGGGCTGATGTGGGGTATATAAATTTATTACAGCGTACGTGATTTTGGAACGAACAGCCGCAAAGTGTCAAGAGATAATTTAGCTTCTGTATGCTGAAATTTGTAGGCGAATTTGGCGCTACCCGTATTTCATTATAATAACGTGTGTGTTATCGCGGCAATTTATGGCGGTGGGCATGCTTTTAACTGTTAATGTGAAAAGTACATAAATTAGAAGCACACAATTTACCTTACTTGCAATTTTCTTTGTTGTATGATAATGGCGAAAAAGGAGTTGAATAAAAGTATGTGCCTTGTACGTTCCATACGCCGTTCGTGTATAATGATTTGACCAACAAGTGCTGTAATAATTCAATATCCTTAACTCGCTTTTAAGCGCTCTGAGAGAGTAATAGAGTCCCCTTAAAAGCTTTCAGACACAAAACCTCGCACAAAATGGCGGACAAGAATCTTCCGGAACCAAAATGGCGTTGGCCTCCGGTGTCTCACTTATTTAAAGTTCGGCGATGGGGTTTATTTACAATACAAAGTCTGGCACTGTACAGAAGTCCAGGGTCCATAAGAAAGCAATCCAGAAGAAAAATCAGGAGATCGTTCGAGGAGGAGGAGGAGGAGAACATAATCTATGAGGAGATGCTTTTCTACGAACAAGAGAAACGTTCCAACACCTTATTTTCGTTCAAATTTTCTCTGGCTACAACAAAAACATAATCTATAAAGAGGTCATCTAATCTCAAAATGAACCTTCCAGGCCTTATTTTCCTTTAAATTTGTGTATCAGGAGAACATAGTGCACGAGGGAGTGTTTGCGCCCCTAATTCCCTGAGTAGGTATGTGTTAGAACAATGCTTTTTTCTGGTTACCAGGAAAACATAAGGAGGTATTTTTCTAAGCTCCAAAGAACTTTATTTTCGTTTAAATGATTGTATCAGGACAGTATAATGTGCGAGGAGGTATTTACCATCCTATTTTAATGAGTATCTGTTAGAAAAGTCCTATTTTCTCTGGATATCAGAGACATAATCTCTGAGGAGGTATTCATTTAAGCTCAAGAAAATCGTTCCGACGCTTTATTTTTGTTAAAAGTTTTGTATCAGGAAAATTGGTTGTGCAGGGAGGTGTTTCTGCGTCTAATTCTCGGAGTATCTGTATAAAGAGGTCTTCTAATCTCAAAATGAACGTTCCAGGCCTTATTTTCCTTTAAACTTGTGTATCAGGCGAACATAGTGCACGAGGGGGTGTTTGCGCCTCTAATTCCACGAGCAGGTATGTATTAGAATAATGTTTTTTTCTTGTTACCAGGAAAACATAAGGAGGTATTTTTCTAAGCTCCAAAAAACTTTATATTCGTTTAAATAATTGTATCAGGACAATATAATGTGCGAGGAGGTATTTACGTTCCGACGCTTTATTTTTGTTGACAGTTTTGTAACAGGAAAATTGGTCGTGCAAGGAGGTGTTTCTGCGTCTAATTCTTTGAGTATCTGTTAAGAAACTGTAACATTTCTGGCTACCAGGTAAATATAATCTATGAGGAGGTTGTTTTTTAATCTCCAAAGAAACGTTCCAACACCTTATTTTTCTTTAAACGTTCATACAGTGTAATTTTTAGCTACCAGGAGAAGATAACCTATGAGGAGGTCATTTTCTAAACTCAAAAGGAAGGTTATTACTTTCATTTAAACTTCTGTACCAGGAAAATGCAATGTGTAGGGAGGTTACTGAGGATTTGTTAGAAAAATGTAACTTTTCTATGGTTAACAGGAGAACATAATCTATGAGGTCATCTTCTAATTTCAAGAACGCTTTATTTTCGTTTAAAGTTTTTGTATCAGGAGAATTGCTTGTGCAAGGAGATGTTTCTGCTTCTAATTCTCAGAGTATCCAATTAACATTTCGGGTTACCAGGAAAACATAATCTATAAGAAGAAGAGAAACGTTCCAACACCTTATTTTTGTTAAAACGTTCGTACCAGAAGAATGCAATGTGCGTTTCTGCTCCAATTTCTCTGAGTAGCTGTTATGAAAGTTTAATTTTTTGGCTCCCAGGAGAAGATAATCTATGAGGAGGTCGTTATCTAAGTCAAAACGGAAGGTTACGCAGCTTATTTTCATTTAAATTTCTGTACCAGGGATATATAATGTGCGGGGAGGTTTCCGCTTCTAAGTTACTGAGGATTTGTTAGAAAAATGTAACTTTTCTATGGCTACCAGGAGGACATAATCTATGAGCTCATCTTCTAATTTCAAGGGAAACGATCCAACACTTTATTTTCGTTTAAAGTTGGTGTATCAGAACAATTGGTTGTGCCAGGAGGTGTTTCTGCTCCTTTCTCTCTGAGGAACTGCTAGGAGAATGTAATGATTTAGCTATGAGGGGAACATAATCTATGAAGAGGTTGTTTTATAAGTCCAAAAAGAATTTACTTACTTTCATTAAAGTTCTGTACCAGGAAAATAAATTTCTGCAGTACCTATCTGTTAGGGTAATGTGGTAAATTTTCTCAGCCTACCAGGAAAACATAATCTATGAGGAGATCATTTTCTAAGCCCAACAGATTATTTTTGTTTAAAATACGTATCTCGCATTATTAACCGCGATCTCTTCCGTAGCTCGGCCCACTAAGCATTGTAGCGCCGTGGTAACGCTTTCGAAACCCTAACACGTCACTTATCGGCACGAGCCCCCCTGTAGTTTTCACGATGACCGAAAAGCCTGTCTCGACTTCATCCCTACTTTTCCCATTTTTTGCAAACACGCCATTGAAATCGTTGCTAATCATTTCAACGGCCGTCTTTCTTCGTTTAACCAATAAACATTACCTCCCTTAAACAGCACCCACGTTTATAAAAGTAATTATCCAGAAACCACGGCATTAGCATTTTTCGTATAGGTACTTTTATACTTACCAATGCCTTTCTATTTTAGGTTCACGTCAAACATGGCTCGAGTTTTTAAACAAAAATGCTGTTAGTACAAGTAAACATTTAATTAATACGATAATGAACATATCTCGCAATTTTCCTTTTAATAAGTTCTTAAACTCGAAGATTAATTAATAAGTTTCTGTGATCATCAAAAATTCAAAACAGCGGAAATTTCCCCGTTCACTCCTTTTTCCATGATTTCCAGCCCTGAAGTACAAAGATTTGCCTGTGAAACGACCCAATGAATTTTCTCTAATCTCTAATGCACTATATATAACTGCATCGATCACTATGGCAGCAACGACATCTAGCGACAGTTGTCGCGAAAAGGCGGGAATCGATCAAATTTAAACTAAATTTCACGTGTCACAATCGAATTGATCTGTGGTAATGCGACAAATCTCGGGAGGTCGCCCGTTTCATTCAAAAATATTCCCAAATTAAAAATACTACGTTGTCGTTAAAACGCAAATTAAAAATAGTTAATTAAGCGGTCGCCTATTCAGAAGCACACGCACGTTTCGGACTAATTTTAAACAAACGCATGTGTTTTCTCTACAAAAATATGTAAAACATAACCTTTACATGCTCATACTCAGACTATTATTAATTAGCGGGTCAACGTAAGCAAAGAAATTGTTCGTTTTTGGCTTAGAAAATTGGAAAAAAATAGTGTTTTTGGATGCAATTAGTAGTGAACGCCCAAAAAGAGCAAGGCACTAACAAAGGAAACTACGACTGCCAAAAAAATCTATGAAGCGCAACACCGAACTCGCAATTTACCTGTTTTATTAGAGGAAGGAGTGTTTGCTCTATACTACGAGTTTTAATTTCTAAACAATCAAAATTTGAAGTCGCTACAGCTGCCATTTTCTACACTACTAACCATCCTCTACTAACACGCGCGCACGGTATCAGTCTGTTTCACTCCCACCAACGTGACTACACAAAAGTACGATAAGTTGCCTACCCTCGCCTACAAGGCGAACAAAAAACTGGTCTCTGGAAGCCTACCGCCAAAAGTAAGCCTACCCGCTTGGGGCACATTAAACCTCCTCATCACCTCCCGTATTTCCGCAACCGTAATCGGCGGCTGACCGCTATAGACACGGCTGTAATCCGGATTGGACCCACTAAACCTGTGCTCACCGACAAACATCGCGGCCGTATAGTGCAGCCCGGCCAAGTTGCCCAACGGATCACTACTCCTCCTCGCGTCCATCCTCACCAGCAACGCATAATCGATAATCTCCGCGACCGTCTGATAGGCGTAATACGCCAGCACCTCCAACGCGATACCGCTCGTATTAATCTGCTTCTTCGGATCGATCCACGCGCGTAACTTCTCCAAGTTAGCCGACCGCGATGTCCCCCTACTGTTAAACGAGACGCATCGCGCCTTTTGAAACTCTAAATACTTGGAATCGTCGAGCGCCTGCGAGATGCAATCGGCGCGCACCTGCCTGCGGTGAATCACCTCGTCCAGCTCCGACAGATCGGTCAGCTCGCCGGTCTCGTCGATTCGCTCGATAAACTCCAACAACGGATGACGCGACTGCGGCGTTTTCGTCTGGAACTCGGCGTTCATCTCCGTCTCGCACTGCGTCTTTAAATGTTTTAAATTGAGGTACTTGACGAACCGTCTCATTTTCCACTTGTTCTTACGCATCAAGAAGATCAGTTCCTCGCCGCCCAGCAGCTTGCCGTCCCAGTATCTCGTCGCCTCGTGTACGATCGTCCGAAGCTGTCTCAGCACGATACTTTCGACGAATCTCACCGTCTCCGGATTGGGCTTGTGACTGTCGCCGAAACCGAACATCATCAGGGAGATCTCCGTGCAGTAGGTCACTTTTTGAGGCTCCATCATTGATGCGATTATTAATTATTTAAAGATCGGAATTATATAAATAAATTTTAAGGTTATGTTATTTGTTTACTTTTTCTACGACGTGTCTAAAGCAGCGTCTGTGGCAGTGTATCATTTCCCGTTTCCATTGAAACATGCAGTACGTTGCCTACTATTCGGCCCTGTGATGTATGAGAAAAGTCAAACTTAATAATAAATTAATAATAATGTGAACGTTATCTGTCAAAAAAGGTTATTTTGCGTTATTTAATATGGGTAAAACAACGTTTCTACAAATACCCTACTTTCCATACAAATTGGGTGGTCACGGGACACTGTGGGTGTGTAAATCTCAGGGTAAACTAAAGTCATGTAATCACCACTCGGATCCCGGAAAGGATAGCTTTAAATGCTCTTAATTATCTTCTATACGTCTACAAATAGGAATAGGTGTGCGATTAATTAATTGACGTTTGTTAATTTAAAGATCTACTCACTCTACAGTTTCAAATCGTGTCCCATCGAACTCCCTGAAACTCACATACTCAGGCGATATCCTCGACCATAATTTATTTGCAATTAACAATGGTTTTCAAATCATTAGAAGGGCTATAGGAATATATTAAGTTAGAGGTTTGCAAGCTTTTGGAAAGAGCCAGGAAGGTTCTGAGAAGACGCATTGGATTACTCTGCCAAAACTTATAGAGGGTTTTCCAAAACGGGTCTAAATCAGGGGCGGACTGGGTAACTGCGGGCCAGGTGGAATTGCATTGGTCACGGGCCATTAAAGTATTTTTTCTCGAAAATAAATTACCATACAGTTTTTTTTAAATTGCAGCTGATAATTAAAAGTAACAAAATATACAATCCACACGAGGTGCGTTGCCTAGCATTGTCTCAGATCGACCCGGAAAAAAATTTTTCTTATAGAATGTGGCCTGTAGAATCCATAATTTCAAACAGTTCCAAGTTTGGGCTACTAGTTCAAAAGTTACAGCCCTTTGAATTTTTTTTCGAAATTGGTTTCTAGTCTATAACTTTTGATTGAGAAGTCTGATCGAAAAAGTACGAATGATTTGGATTCTACGCACCCAAATTAATAAGAAAGTGTTTTCCGAGAAATTTTGGTGTAGTCGATTTTGGTAAAAAAGGGAGGTTATACACTGCCTCCTTAAAAAAATTGTCTCATTCGGAAAATGAATATGGCCTGTATCCACTTGCACACAAGATTTACTAGTTTTAATTAATTACCATACAGTTTTTTTTTAAATTACAGCTGATAATTAAAAGTAACAAAATATACAATCCACACGAGGTGCGTCGCCTATCATTGTATTTCAGCACTTTCATGCTACGACAAAAAATGATAAATTCATTGTAAAACACTTCAATTAAAACAGAATTTTTTAACAACCTAACATCAACCCCAATTAGAGAAACGTGTTCATAATTTATTAATAGTGCAAGAAACTAAATACAGCACGTACTTATAAATTTCCAACGGGCCATTATGATCTACAGACCAGGTGGCAATCGCCACCCGCCCCCGTGCCAATCCGCCCCTGGTCTAAATATTTCTGGGAAGCCGCCAGTACTTTCTTAAAAGACATTGGAAGAAACAGGATAGCACTGGCAAGACTCAGGGACAGTTGATGGACGACATTCTACAGTCTTGTGTCCTGTCCAGATTTTTGTGAAGTCGTCTAGAATCGGAAAGCCCCGAAGGGGGTTTTTAGAATGTTCCAGAGCTTTTTGACCGATTTTTGCCAGTTTTCTAGGATTTTTCTGAGCTGTATGAATACTTAATAAAAATTCTCTGATACATCCATTTTCTTTCCAGAGCATCCTAAATCCCGTCCTATTTCCTTAAAGTCCTTTCCAAAGTGTTGTTTTTGGATCTGAATAGGTTGCTCCAGCTCCAAAGAGAGCCTAAACAGTTTTCTGAAGACAGCAAGAGTCTAGGAAACATTTTAATTGTATGATGCATTATCGCTTAGTATAAATATTGATCCTGTATAAAAACTGCCCCAAGCATCTTCTAACCCTACTTTTGTGTTTATTTAAAAAATCAATAATGCAAAGCATTTTAAGCGCTTTTGCCCTTCCAGAATCTCCAATATTGTGCCAAACTGGAAACACAAAAGCGATAATTGACGGGGTCGATTTGGGAAACGGAACCGTTTTCGTAAATGAGAGGTTAGAATTTTTACTTCCCCCTGGTCGCAATTAGCTAACGTATGCTTTAGGAAGCTCTCCTGGAAGAATGACGACAATACGGGTTTCGCCGTGGACTTCCCGCACATCTCCCTCCATGCGATCACGGCCGACCCCAACGTTCACCCGACAAAATGTCTGTTTATCATGGTCGACGATCGGTTATCGATACAGGGTATGATATTGCACTCCTGACATAGGCTAACAACGTTCGCTTTTCTAGGGTACGAGTTTCTGCAGCAGCCGATGGAAAATGGCGCCACTGAGGAATCTGACGACGAATCGGAGTCAGAGACCCCTTCGCGTCTCGTTCTAGTACCGAGAGACCTGGACGCGATAAACCCGCTGTTTTCCGCTCTATCACTGGGGCAGTCTCTAAATCCAGACCCCCATGACAGCATGGAGGAGGAGGAGGACGAAGATGATAATATCTACGGTGATGCCGAGGACACGTCCGACGGTTAGTTTTGGCACTTCACAACCATGTACTTACTTATGCAATTTCCAGGCGTAAACCATTTGTCTGCGGGAGTTCAAAATGTGACCATTAATTACAATTACAGCAATGGGGATCAGGATGTCGATGAGGATCAATTTGAAGATGCCGATTGAAGAGAATGCACAATTTTAGTCTTAATATCGATCATGTACCAATTCTGTTATGTTAAAAAACGTTTGACACTACCATAGGTTTTGTATTAGCACTGCATATCGGGCATGCACCGTAAATAAAAGAATTCAGATGTAACATGTACAGTTCTGTAACAACTTTCCAGAGCAATGCAATACTTATATGCCCGTTAATGGTTTCCCTAGTGTTCTAGCGCGTCCTGCAAACTGCTTACTCACTTTTTGGACCTGGAAGAGCTCTAAGACTCGACTTCATTGAAATTAAAAGCTTTCCAGAGGCTATTTCACTCAGTATCTATGGCTTTATATGCCCTATCCAACACATTCTAAGCTCCATGGTGTTGGAAAGCTTTAAGATAAACCTAAGAGGACACTCTGTTGTCTGCTTTCGTATACTGTAACCAAAATAGTTAGGACATCTAAGACTGGTTGATCTCATAACATCTTTGCGCTAGCATTTCCCGAACAAGGGGCCAGTTTCCTGTTTCAGGGGTGGGACCCTACTATCAAAAAAACTTACGTTTTGAATCTATGTACGATGTTGAGATTTACTGTATTCCGCACGTTCTGTAGTTTAAACGATAAATTTGTCCTTCAAAGCCATTTACTTTTTCATATTACTTTTAATAAAGAGGGTTTTATTGCACCAAAGTTGAGTCTTAACTCCACGAGAGGATATGTTCCGAGAACAAGTTCACTTCTTCCCGTTTCTAGACCGACACCCCTTTTGACGCGAATCTTTTTCAAACTAGAACTTTACGATTGAGTATTCCCATTTGTACATTTTTACTTGACTCGACGAATTCGCTTCATTCACTCGAAATTGCACATTTCTACCGGGTTAAGTTAAGTTACAATGGAATCCTATTGATTCACCTCCCGAGCGCTTTCATTACGACGTAAATATCCATTTCTTCATTCCTTCCTAGAAAATATAATGAATCGGGCCCAAGCACTTTTTTTTGTTTATCAATGAGAAATATGGATTCTACAGGCCACATTCTATAAGAAAAATTTTTTTCCGGATCGATCTGAGACAATTTTTCTTTCGGGGCTCAAAAAAAGGCCTTCCTTTTTTACCAAAAATCGACTGCACCAAAATTTCTCGGAAAACACTTTTTCTTTTTAAGTTTGGTGCGTAGAATCCAAAACAATTCGTACTTTTTCGATTAGACCTCTCAATCAAAAGTTATAGACTAGAAACCAATTTCGAAAAAAAATTCAAAGGGCTGTAACTTTTCAACTAGTAGCCCAGAACATTTTTTTTCCGGATCGATCTGAGACAATTTTCTTTTCGGGGCCCAAAAAAAGGCAGTGTATTACCTTCCTTTTTTATCAAAAATCGACTGCACCAAAATTTCTCGGGAAAACACTCCTTCTTATTAATTTTGGTGTGTAGAATCCCAAACAATTCGTACTTTTTCGATTAGACTTCTCAATCAAAATTTATAGACTAGAAACCAATTTTGAAAAAATATTCAAAGGGCTGTAACTTTTGAACTAGTAGCCCAATCTTGGAACTGTTTGAAATATGGATTCTACAGGCCACATTCTATAAGAAATTTTTTTTTCCGGATCGATCTGAGACAATTTTTTTTTCGGGGCCCAAAAAAAGGCAGTGTATTACCTTCCTTTTTACCAAAAATCGACTGCACCAAAATTTCTCGGGAAAACACTTTTTCTTATTAATTTTGGTGTGTAGAATCCAAAACAATTCGTATTTTTTCGATTAGACTTCTCAATCAAAAGTTATTGACTAGAAACCAATTTCGAAAAAAAATTCAAAGGGCTGTAACTTTTCAACTAGTAGCCCAATCTTGGAACTGTTTAAAATTATGGATTCTACAGGTCACATTCTATAAGAAAATTTTTCTCCCGGATCGTTCTGAGACAATTTTTCTTTCGGGGCCCAAAAAAAGGCAGTGTATTACCTTCCTTTTTTACCAAAAATCGACTGCACCAAAATTTCTCGGGAAAACACTTTTTGTTATTAATTTTGGCGTGTAGAATCCAAAACAATTCGTACTTTTTCGATTAGACCTCTCAATCAAAAGTTATAGACTAGAAACCAATTTCGAAAAAAAATTCAAAGGGCTGTAACTTTTGAAATAGTAGCCCAATCTTGGAACTGTTTTAAATTATGGATTCTACAGGCCACATTCTATAGGAAATTTTTTTTCCGGATCGATCTGAGACAATTTTTTCTTCGGGGCTCAAAAAAAGGCAGTGTATTACCTTTTTATCAAAACTCAACTGCACACAAATTTTTCGGGAAAACACTTTTTCTTATTAATTTTGGTGTGTAGAATCCAAAACAATTCGTACTTTTTCGATTAGGCTTCTCAATCAAAAGTTATAGACTAGAAATCAATTTCGAAAAAAAATTCAAAGGGCTGTAACTTTTGAACTAGTAGCCCAATCTTGGAACTGTTTGAAATTATGGATTCTACAGGCCACATTCTATAAGAGAAATTATTTTCCGGATCGATCTGAGACAATTTTCTTTCGGGGCTCAAAAAAAGGCAGTGTATAACCTTGCTTTTTTACCAAAAATCGACTGCACCAAAATTTCTCGGGAAAACACTTTTACTTATTAATTTTGGTGTGTAGAATCCAAAACAATTCGTACTTTTTCGATTAGGCTTCTCAATCAAAAGTTATAGACTAGAAACCATTTTCGAAAAAAAATTCAAAGGGCTGTAACTTTTGAACTAGTAGCCCAATTTTAGAACTGTTTGAAATTATGGATTCTACAGGCTTCACAATCAAAAGTTATAGACTAGAAACCAGTTTGGTCCTTTCCTAGATAAACTCAAAAATATCCCTGCTGGTCAGATAATTTATTAATTTGTAAGCAATGCGCTGCATTTCTTTGACGACCTACATGGTGGTCACTTTAATTTTGAATTTTGTTAAACAAGGGAAAATGTACATATACCGCTTCATAGCGAACGTGAACAAAACTATGTCTGGGGATAACAAGGGCCTAAGAGCTTCGTTCTGTTCGTCTTTACGTTCAGAAAATACGGCCCGTTTCGGAACTTCTAACGGGCGAAAGAAGTGGAAGAGCGGACAAAACTTTAATTTGAAGGAAAGGTTCATGTATGCGCGTCAGGAGTACCTATCTGTACATGAGTAATAACAGGATAGCTCATTCCAGTTACAAGAGAGGGATCCATGCAGATGGTGTGGAAGTACATATATAACAAATTAATCAAAAATTAACGACCCTTTACTTTGTTACACAATACAATCAAAGAACCGTTTCGGTTAAATGAACATCTTCTATTTCGCCTCTCGTCCTGCATAAAAATCCCGTTCCTAAAAAAATTATATCGACCAATCGAACAAACACATGACACGGACGTTTTCAACGGACACGTTTCGGACCGAAAATTAGGTCGGCGTCGGGCGCGCCCTTCGGATGCTGATACTTTTTGCGCTCGCGATTCAAATTTTGACTGGACGGCTTGCTTTGCTGCTGCAGCATCTCCTGATAGTCCTCCTCCTCGAAGCGTTCGGTGATGTTGAGCGTCAGGCGTTTGACGCGCTCCTTCTCCTCGCGCTGGACGAGCTCTTGGTCGCGCAAGTTCTGCGCCAACTCGGAGTTGATGTCGGCGTGGAACGTTTTGTACTGCTGCTTGTTGCCCTTGCGGACCATCAGAACGAATCCCATAGTTCCCTGGTCCGGGTTGTTGGAATCCTAGTTGACAGTAAAGTAGTGGGGGTGAGGTCAGTCGGGTGGCATACCTGTAATTGATCGTAGGTCTTTTTGTTCGACTTGACCACGACCGGTACGGAAATGTCCACATTGGATAGCTTTATTGGTTCGCGCATGCGATCTTGAATGTTTTCAGAGACCATTTTGTCGAGTGCGCTTAGAAACTCTTCGTCCTCTGCGCATTCGACTTTACGGGGCGCGCTAGGTATGGCGTGTGACTCGGATGTTGACTCTTGCTCAGTGTCTGTGCGATCGCCTAAAAGCATTCTTGAGTGATTCATCATTAAAAGTATAACAAAAACATCAAGAAAGGACACATTTGTGGTCTCTTGGTGTTGTTGTTACGTCGTCAATACCCTCATCATCAGAATCGCGAGTGTGATCAACGGTTTCATCTTCGGTTCCGGTATCGTCGGTGATCGGTCCCGTTAAACCCTCCGAGATCTCGTCGTCTGCCTGATCTTCGTTGTCAGTTTCGGCAATAGCCTCCAATTCGCCATCGCCCCTCTCCTTCACCTCGAGCAGGTTTTCTACTCAAACACCTCGCAGTGAAAAACCTTAGATCACCTCGGTACATTACCTATCCCAAGACTACTTCTTACATTATTTACTTCCGCGATCGCCTCCTCATAGCTCTGGCACACTTTCAACTTCGGCCTAAGTATCTGAAGCGTATCTTTGACCAGGTGCTCCAACGGCGGTGGGAAGTCGACGACGTACGACCGCTTAAACCAATAGTACGCTTGGAAGAACACCAGGTAGTAGTCCAAACGCTTTTTACTGCTCCCGCTGCTGAAGTAGGTCCCTAAACGCAAAAATCCAGCCGCCGCGATTACCAATACGCGCTCACTTACCGCACGTCTCCAACAAAACGCAGACCAGCCTAATGCGAAACAAGTGCGTGGACGGATCCAACGGCGACGGTATCGAGTGATCCATCGTGACCCCGAACGTGATCAGCGAGTACAGCACCTTAAAGATGTCGCCGCTCTCGACCATTCTGTAATTGTACATCTCGCCCAGGTATTTTATTTGGGCGACGCGCCGCTGGTTGAACTTCGGCAAGTTCACCTCCATGCCGAGCCGAATGTCCTCGAGAACGCCGTCCACGACTCGCGTACCGACCTCCTCCTGGTAGGCGACCAGGCCCGAAAGGAGATTCGCTAGACATCTACGAGACATTTATCGACGTTATTGTTTTGTGCCGTCCAACAGAACATGTAAGGGAGGTTTATTTTTTTTTTGCCCAAAAATGGCGGAAGTTACCAGATTCTAGTAACTTTAATGTTAGGGATTGTTGCACCTGTTTGGAGATATCTGTATATATTTTTATCAATGAATAAAGAATACCAGGAAGGAGAATATCAACAATATACGTGCGTCCGCGATGGCTTTTGCAAATGGCGGACAGTAGTTTCCTGTTCCAGTGGCGTACCTACCTTACAGCTGTAGAAGGATACAATTATAAAGAATTTTACACGACAACAATCTAAACCCCCATGTGTCTACTCCGCCTATGACTTTTGTTTAACTAACCTCAAACTACATTCCGATAAAAAATTTGTAAATTTACATGTACCATATAAAAATAATATTGGTATCAATACTTTAGACATGAAATGTAATTCCCAAACTTTTATTTTTTTCCGTTTTGGAGCAACCACAAGCACAACAACTAACCATTATTTTATGTAACTGCAAAACCCACAACAAAAATGAGTCATAAGTGGCTTTTGCAAATGGCCGACCTCCGTCGCACTCTCTCTAGTATACAACCTGAGTAATTCTCCCTCCTGGTATTCTTTATTCATTGATTTTTTATAAAACATGACAGTACTATGAAGATAGGTTATAAAAAATGACAGCTATTCAGATTTTATTTGTCAATTTTTTTAAGTTGGAAGCAAATTTGCCCAAAAATGGCGGATGATTGCATCCAGAGACTTGTTATTGCATCACTTTCTATATCTAGTGACTAGTAGACTTTAATATGGGTTACTGCCCACTGGTTTAATTACCGGCGACATTCTGTCCGGCGATAATACCATCTTAATGGGGTTTACGTGACCAGGATGTCCGCGTTAAGGTATTAGCGCCATTTTGTTGTTTTTTCACTGAATCTTCTTATCGGCCCCAGGAAAAGAGGAAGGAATGGACCAGAAAATGGATATTGAGAAGAGATCATCTCAGTTGCCGAATCTGGCTACTGTTAAAGCCAGTGGACCAGCGCGACATTTTTCGTCTGGACTGGATCGTAACTGACCTCCAGTACTGTTTGCCCAGAGCCATTTAATGGAGTCCAGTTATTGGCCTCGTGTATTCAACAGCCCCCAGGAAAGTCATCCAATTTTCGGATACTGGGGGTATTCCAGCCCCCCCCCCCCCGTTCTACGTTTACCCTTGAAGCTATCAGCTATAAAGACTTACCAAAGATTCTGACGTAAGTTCTTAGGGCTCTAGGGAAGAACATAAGGTCACTGATGAGTTATTTAACCGGGGAATCGCCACAAGGCCAGAGCCTTATAAGTATCTGCAACCTCATTTGATTAGCAACGTTAACTTGATTTTCGAATGCATTTGGAAAATCACATTCGTAATTACAGTAAAAGAAATACCTAGTGGAAGACCTATGTGACTTCTGGACCAGGAAGTGACCTCACAGCCAATCAGAGACGAGCACGCCCCCCTATGCCCCTCCCCTTGGCCAATGGGATACGGTAGGCGTGGCTTTTAGAAGCCGCCCCCTGTGGCGTCACAGCCAATGAGCGGTGTGGTCGGCCATTTTGGATCGAGCGCCATTTTATTAGTCAGCAAATCCGCCATCTTGAATCGGTCGCCATTTTATTAGTTACCAAATCTGCCATCTTGAATCGGTCGCCATTTTATTAGTTTCTAATTCCGCCATCTTGGATCGGTCGCCATTTTATTAGTCTGTAATCCCGCCATTTTGTTGGGCGCCATTTTATTAGTCACTAAATCCTCCATCTTGGATCTGCCGCCATTTTGTTAGTCTCTAATCCCGCCATTTTGTTGGGCGCGTCTGTCTGTCTGCCTCTCTCGCTCCATCCGCCATCTTGGATGTTATTTTGGACCCGCGTCATCGGTCACGTGATTGCTATAGACAATCTGCGTTGGGAATCGAACCCACGATACCTGAAATGGAAAGCTAGCGCGTAACCAAATGACAGTGGCGGAACAACGTAGCCACGGGCCTGTGTGCGAAATTTTTTGCTGGGCCCCCATTATGATACGACGTATTGATAACAATATTAATTTAGGTATGAATTTTGGCTACAAAAAAAACCAATTGATAAGTATTTATGTTCCTGAACCTGAACATAGAAAAATATGTGGTAAGCAGTCAGAGCGCATTTTTTTAACCGAAATAGCTTTTGTTTTGACATCACCGATGGATATATTTTTTGCAGAAGTTTCAATCGCCCTTTGTGAGTACTCTCTTCCGACAATCCGTTCTTGAGGTATAAGGGAATATACCAGAGCACGATAAGAAGTCGAGGAGGAGGGCTATGGTTGGTAGAAATTAATTCCTTTCGTTGAGACCTTTCATTAGAGTACCATGAAGGATAAAACTAGTTCCACTCCCCCCTCGCCCTCTAGCCCGTACCATGATAAGAGGTCAGAAAAAAAGGCAATAGTTGGTAAAAAACGGTTCCTTTCGTTGAGACTTTTAATTAGAATACAATGAGAGATAAAATTAATTTTTTTTAATTCTTAAAAAATGCGCTAAAAATTACTCAATCGTTGGCTGCAGTCTGCAGTTGGTCTCACGCCGTGCTAGAGGTATGCTGCAAAAGGTTCCATTTAGCGTGTTTCCGTCTTTCCGTCAACAGTGTATTATTTTTGAGTATGACAATCCCGGGTCCCGGGCCCCATTTAGCCCGGGCCCGTGTACTTCGCACACATTGAACACCGGTAGTTCCGCCACTGCCAAATGAGCCACGCAGACTTTGAGAGATTCTATAGTTAGAGGTTGAAGTGAATGAAAAAACAGGTGCCGTGACATGGCCCCAACTCCGAGACATGCAAGGGGGGCCCTATTACCTATGTCATGCTCCATTCTAACCTTTAAATATATTTCGGGACCCCCAGGCCTATAACGAGGCGATGGTTGCTCGCTCTCGGGGCGGATGAATGGTAGGAAACTGTAACGCAAATGGCGACCGATCCAAGATGGCGGAATTAGAAACTAATAAAATGGCGACCAATCCAAGATGGCGGATTTGGTGACTAATAAAATGGCGCTCGTTCCAAAATGGCGGACCACACCGCTCATTGGCTGTGACACCACAGGGGGCGGTCTCTAAAGGCCACGCCTACCGTATCCCATTGGTCAAGGGGATGGGCATAGGGGGCGTGCTCGTCTCTGATTGGCTGTGACGTCACGTGCTCGTCTCTGATTGGTGTGACGTCACTTCCTGGTCTAGAAGTCACATAGGTCTTCTACTATACCTGTTAGTATTCGAGTGTCTACAGACGCGTTAACATGTTAACACATTATCTTAGAGTTTACGCTTAATATTTTTTGTGAACTAAGAGAATAAGAACAAAACCTTTTTCGTTTTTCTTTTTCTTCTTCGTAAAATTTGCAATGCATAATTTGTCATTTTCTAAAACAGCTTAGGTTTGCAATATCCCTCTCTTTTTTCTTTACCGCTCCCTCTTCACTCGGATTATTTCATCATGTGAAATTAAAGGTTTCACCCTTAATCCACCGTAATTATTAGCATAATTTACATTAATTAATAATAATAGGCACAGATTGACTCAAAAATTTTATTTAAAAACCCAACGCAAACAAGATGCTCATTAGTTACGTCACCGGAAAATCCCTTTTCACGAAGGCTATGAGCTTGTGATGCCACAAAAAGTGGTGGGACAAGGTCTCCTTTTTCTACTCACCGTTCTCTTTTACATCTTCCGCCGGAGGCGATCCATGATTCCAAGATTGGAGGAAAGAAATCGTTTGTATATAATTTTCCAACCCAGTTAGAAGGAAATAGAATTTTTTAGTTTTCCCTTTTTGAATTTAGTACTAAATAGTGAGAATCTTCTAACTGAGTTGAAATTATAAAGAAAAATTACAAAGAGAACCCGATGGCTATTTTAAATACAAATCAAAAACAATTCAGTTACCTTAATTATACCGGTTCCTGGAATCCATGTTTTCCCTATGGTACAAATTAATATTTCCATTCTCGAAGGGATAGTCCTTTAAAGTTGGACGATATAGAACGAAACCTGGATCCAACTTTCCGCTCTCGTACTATAATTTATTAATAGCGCAATTTACTCGGACAAAAAGTCCACTCGGACTTTTATAATTGTTCGACGGTTCTAAACACAAAAACTATCGCACGCTTGTTTTTCCCGAAGTCTATTTCTACTAATCCTTTCTGCATGGGTCTACAAAACGTCTGCGTTCGCAATAATAATCCTATTTACTGACCAAAACTGAACTTCCGCAGAAATATCTTGAATAATTACTTTTTCAAATTCGGTAATGTACAGCCCTTTGATTTTTGACTGTCGGACGGTTTTTGCGCTAACATTAATTACCTACGGGCTCTTTTACTTGAGCTCCAACAACAAATTTTTCCGCTTATCGCCAAAAAATTTATTTCGTGGTCGAAAACCGAGCGCCACTTACTCTTTTTTAATTTTCGGACACGCCTACAAAAGCTACCATTTTTAAGCGTCAACCAATCGACTTCGTTTCCTTAATCAGATCACATGTCTACAACTGCCCATTAGATTCAAAGATCGCTTAATTCTGCTCCATGAGCAATTCTGATTCAGCTGTTTTGGTCACGTAAGACATTAAGATTGTGTTATCGCCCGTCAGACTGGCGCTGATAACTTTTTCACGGCAATTAACTTAAAAGCCTTTGAAAACGAAGAAAATTATTTTGAAATGAGCAGTAACTTACCTGATATTGAGATATTTGATATTGTGCGCCCCAATCAAGCATTTAATCGCGTACGAAGCAATCTCCTCACTATTCCAGTCCAATTTTCTGATAAGTCTCATAATTTTGTCGCTATTATTCTTCTGCAAATCCTGATAGAGTAACTTTCGAATGAACTGGTGCATGACGGGCCGTTCCTTTTTAATCGTGGGGCCTACGTCGGGCGGGTTGACGTAGTAGTAGGCGTTTTCGATTTGCGTCACGTACCGGGAGTCCAACGCGAGCACTGCCTTTTTCCTCATCATTTGCTCCAAGTAGACTTTGGTTCGTTGGTGCGACTCCGGGCAGCAGTACAAGAATCTGCCGCAAACCTCCAGCAGGTTGCACGCCATTTCGATGTTGTGATGGGAGAAGTCGTGCAGCAGTATTTTGACGCAGTACAGCGCCTCCATTTTCGAGTACATTTTAAACTTGACCAATTCGCCGATGTATCGCGCCACCTTTATCTTCGACTCGATGTTGATTTGGTCCTTTTTCCGGACGTGATACTTAAAATCTTGACGCAGCATGAGAAACAGCTCGTTCGCGACTTCGGGAACCGCCGGATAAATGATCGCGACGAACCGCCCGTAGAAGGGCAATAGATCTAGGCGAGTGCGATTCACGCCGAAAAGGGCGCGCACCAACTTTCGACGGTTGTGCTTGTTGTTTAGCGTGACCAAAAAGTCGATGGCCGCGTTATCGATCAGTTCGCGATTGACGCAGTTCGGCAGATTGTTAACGAACGCCTCGAAGATGATCTTGTTACTCACGGTCGTCGAGACGGACTCTTCGGCGTCTTCTTCTAGAGGCTCTTCCGGTTTACCTAAAAATTCCACTATCAGTGCACGGTAGAAATTTGGTGAATTGCTCATCGCATCACAAAGTGAGGTCTGTGCAATGGCAAACGGTCACTGAAGCACCCACTTGAGAACTCATATTCTGGGTCGTAATTTGGGTTCGATTGAACACGACACAATTTAGCAAAAAATCAATCAATAATGATGTAAGAAAGAAACGCACTCAGGAAATATCTTAATCACTTAACCTCTAATTTTGTTTAAAATGTAGGCGATGCTTTTTGTCATCTGACGTTTAACGCGGTCGCCCAGTTAAAGACCCCACTATGTAATTGTGTTTAATTTGTCGTTCAGACATGTGAATTGTTTTTTTTTGTCTAAATTTTATTATTCCCCCTATGATGTATGGATTGAACTTAATTACATTTTAAGGGGAGATCTTGGAGTTTCACTTAATTCCGTTTACCCCATTCGGCGCTGGAACCATTAAAATGCCCATATTAGTAAAATTTATTCTCCGGCTGCGTTTTGCACGGACCGATTATAGAATCCTCTGGGCTGTCACCCAGTGGTGGATTATTTGAAAAATGCGTAACGCGCTCTGCGAGAACGAAATGCTTCCTTCACACTATTTTCGCTCATATTTATTCATTCCCGTTTGTATATGCCGTTTTCATTTAAACCTTACTCCGCGCTATAAGCCGTTTGTCGTTCAACATTTGATATCTATAAATGTATTTCACTCGATCTCCTTGCTCTTATTTTAATTACAATGACCCGCTTCATTTATCTCATCCCGAATATACGTACGTTAACTCAGTATGAATATGAATTTACTCTATTTATTTAAAACAGAAGTTATTTATCGTAGTAATAGAAATATGAAACTTCACTTTATCAGGTACTTTGAAAAACCCTCACTTACGCGATTATTCCTCGATAGACATAACACTGAAACTACTTCTCTATACGTGACAAAAGATTTTTTAATGGCAAATTAAAATCTCTTAAAACACCATCCAAACTTTTCTCTACAAAAACTTTACAACTTTAAAACACTGACTGTCTTTCACAAAAAAAAACCGTTTTTCGTCCTCTTCCCTTTTTTTATACTTTCTTGCTTACCAATGACATTAGCCAATCATGCTCAGTGGTAGAGCATTGGGTTATAAATCCGGAGGTCGGGTGTTCGAACCTGGGTTGAGGCATTGAATAAAAACACTATAAGAAGCCTAACCCCGTGGAAATAAAGCGCGACAGAGTTTGAACTGAGAATATAATGGGAACACTGTCAATAGAGTCGATTCTTGAACTGAGAAGAATGAGAATTTGCTTTCCTCCTATTTACCGCAAAGAGAGTTCGGTGGTCACAACCAATGCGGGTGCAAGGGGATTTGTGAGATTTGTCGCGCTTTCTTCCATAAGCGTTAGGCTTCTTATAGTGTTTTTATTCAATGGTTGAGGTGAATTTTTCATCTGTGGCGGAGATGGAAATTACCTTAGACCAGTTCCGAGCATTCTACCGGCTACTCCGAATTAGGTTTTGCTGCAGTTTTCCTAATTCGTAAGGTAAATACCGGAGTAGTATAGACCATCTTAAGACCTTCTGCAGAGGCACCTCTAAACAGCATTATGCGGGTCACTCTGTAATTGGGCGCATGCCTGTTGAGGGCCCAAAACAAGAGAGGGATAAAATTAAAATTAAATTAAAATTATGTCCCCTGAAAAGGAAGGCCAGCCTCCCCTCTTATCTAACTTGAATATGCGCCTTCAAAAAACTAACACCTGTTTGTCTTCAATTTAATTAGCTTTTACGGAGCGATAAAGAACTTCTTATCGCTAGACCAGATTTAAAAGAGATAAACTTTAAAAAAACACAAAGAAATTATTTCCAGATGTCCCTAATCTACCAGAATGAACAAGAACAACTAGGAAATAATTTTTAAAAATGAACGAGTACTCACAATCATCGTCAAGTTCCTCCGCCGGCAACTCGGAGTCGAGAGTTTCCTCAGTGACCGTCTCCTCCGGTTCGACTTTATCCTTATCCTTGTTCAGGTACGACGTCGGCAAGAAAACCTGCAGCTCGGGCAGCTCGCAGTAGAACTTCTGAGTCTCGATGTCCCCCCACAGGCTCTCCATGTTCGCGACAGACGCCGCGTCCTCCGGATCCAACCCGGTACCGGTCACGATCATCGTCTCGTCCTCTTTCGGAACGGGATCGGCGGGAAGCGCCGGCAGATCCTCCTCCAGGATGTCGGCGAAACTCTGCGCGGCCGTGTGGAGCTTCTCGAACATCACCTGCAGCGACTCGAGCTTCTCCTTGCGCTCCTGGCTCAGTTCGCCTTTCGAGTTTAGTATGCGTCGATTCTGCTTTTCGAATTCGCGCATCTCCTTGTGATCCTTCAGTAGATGCTTGCAAATCGACGTGTAGTAATCTTTGAGCAGCGTACGCACGTTTTGCTGCTTCTCGGGCTGTAAGAACGAACTCTTCGGTATCTCGAAGTTATACTTCACGGCGTACTCCTTCACTTTCCTCGACACCAAGCCTACAACCACAAGAATAAGTCCCTCAATTTTAAACAAAGAACACAAATTACCTGCGTAATCATCGCCACAGTGCTTGCAAAAGGTGAGAATAATCGATATGTTAAAGTGATCTTCTTTGTCCATATTAATCAGTATCGTTAGAATATTCCCGAGCAGAGTAAATGCGTTTTTATTAGTGAATAGCGCCACACTGACCAGCTCGGCGTAAAATCGCAAGTCGACGCGCAGCTTGCTCGGATTCGCTATTTTATCGCCGACTTTAAGCGACAGCGCCTTCTGCCAGTTTTCAAAGAGGTGCTGGGAAAACTCGGCGTACTGCTGGTGCAGGATGCTGCACAGTTTGAGCGCGGCCGGAATGTCGGTCATTTTAAGCTTGGCGTCCACTATTGCCGCCGCGATTTCGGAAATGTATTTCGTCAGGTTCAACGAGGACATGTCTTTTAGGTAGGACTCCAGCTGCGAGCACGTGAAGCTCTTGATCTTTTTGACGAAGGCGGTGTTTTTTTTAAAGTTCGAGTCCAATTTGGAGAAGTGAGCTTCGCTCGGCCTCGAGGATGGTGCAGCTTGGTTAGAGGTTCGCATGTCTGTTTTTAATTGCAGACGTTCTTGCGCCTCCTTTATGTAGGTGAGCACAAAGGCTTTTTCTTCCTCTTCCAGTTTTTCATTTTCCAAAGCTTTTTCAGAGGATTCTGAAACAGTCATATCAAAAATATACTATTTTTTTGACTTTGCACATTTAATTGACACTTGACAGCTCAAAATATAAAACTTAACCTAGAAATAAATCAGTGTACAGTTCGCGTTGTTGCCAAATCTCGTTAGTAGAATATGTATGTACAGGATCGTACACTTTTTATGGAATTATTAATTAATACGTACATGAGAAAATAAACTGATTCAATCCTCAGTTTTTGGCATGAAGTATGGAAGGGTGCATTCGATAATGCTCCGAAAAGTCCCCTCCAAAATTCTGCACCACCTTTTTTCATGTGTTTGATGTGTTCTGTTTGCACTTTATGGTAGTTTTTCCAATCCTTGGTGGTTTTGAGGCATCTGACCTATTCTTAGTCTCTTGTTCCACCAGGTAAATTTTGATCCGTCATGATTGAGCCCGGATTACGTGCTATACTTATCAGAGACTTGCTATAACTAGACTGCGCTTAACGTATCTAAGGTGTTGTCGCCACAGTATGCAACACACAATGCACCGCGGGGCAAAAATCGCTGAGATGATATGCAATATAATGAAATAAGCTGTTATTTTAGATGTTCCGTTCATTAATCATTCTCGTGATTAGCTCGAATTAGTGAACAGATAAATTTCTGTTGAGAATAAACCAATAAACTTAGGTTAACTTGTGCCTATCAACATGTACTCTGTCGATAAATGTTTAAATAATATGCTGATTTTCAACGGATAAAAGTTTAAAGGGTCAATGGACCAGAGCCATTCGAAGAGAAAAATTTACTCCCACCATAGTGCATTTGTGGGGAATGAAGCTGATTTTAGAAAGGTACCTACGAAGGTGTTAAACAATAATGCAATACCGAGCGTTTTCGACTTTCCCATTTACTTAAAATAACGTAGAACTATTATTCGACATCCTTTACCAGCAAGACAACGGCAATACCTATTTGCCTATTAGGTATAGACGTAACTAAGTACTTACTGGTAGGTACTAAGTACATTTCAGGTTTTGTTACAAGAAAAATAGCTAAGTCTGTTAAATGTTCCATATGTGCAGATGCGATATTCGCATCAGAGATTTATTCAAAGCTTTTAACTAGAAAAAATCAAGCGATGCATTAAAAATTTCCCAAATTGCTGAAAATGTGTTCAGGTTTTTCATTCAATCCACACCACACCGCGTTGTAAACAAAATGTTTATCAGCAGTCTAAGAAAAATAAATAACAGTTACAGCCCATTTGGGTTTTTGGATAGGCATATATTGAATCAAAATCCGCTAAATAATCATATCTTACTACTTACACCTTTAGTTTTAAGAGTATATTTTCCCATACCTGTTCACCACCAAAATACATATATAAATCAAATTTAGGACTAAAGTAAGCCAGTTATATACCAATTTAGTTCAAATAAAACACCAATAAATTCGATTAAAACAGTTAACAGCTATATGTTATCTTTTTTGCTACTAAAATTTAGAATAAACATGGCTAAAGCAAGGTGCAGAACGTATGTACGTCTGCCCCGCGATGAACAGTTGGTTGCCTATCCTATCTTGACAACAGGCGTTTATAGTAAAATCTACGTTACGCGCGGTCTAGTTATAATCTGATACTTATAGAACTATTCTTCTTCTGTTCATCTTTGGAGTCTAGTGTTTTTGAATTCAAATTTCTTCATTGACGATAAAGACTCATTGCTATGGCGCGATTTTGAATAGAAATATCAAGGTAACCTGTTCTTGCTAGTAATAGCGCATACTTTCTGGCCACCGACGCCACCGTAAAATAAACTGAAACACCCTTTTATAGAGAATCCAATACAGGCGAGAAAGCGGCTCATTATATTTTCCGCGCTCCTCCAGTTTGCCTCAATCCTAGTTACGGAAGCAGTACAAAGTGCTCAAAAGGGGGTCCTACATGCGCTTGGACGAAATTTCACCCTCCACCCAAAATCCAGAATCAAGCATGGCGATGTTATTAGTTTAAAATGTTGTCCATAGATGTCTCTCCTGTTTTTACCGTATTAGGTAAAATTGGCAACATGGTTAATTTAGTGAATTTTAAAAATGGACACGTTTTGAAAATCTTTTAATTTTTGAGTTCATTTCAATGGTTTGCCAAAACTAGCTTATTTGGAACTGATTGTGCTTTAAAAAAACCTTCTAAATGTTCCATGATCACAAAAGATGGTAAGTATTTACGAACATAACCTCAAAATATATACCGAACTTTTCCCTTAGAACGATTCCGAGGTAGACATGGATGAATTGGAGGCTCGCCTTTACGGCCAAGTCCACCACATGCCGGATTACACTGAGGACGTTGCCACGCAGCCGAATCTCCAGAATAATCCCGCGAACAATGTCATGCGATATTACAATAGGCCAATCTCGACACCGATTCAATGTACGCAGACAGCGAACTACGACAAGTTCGGCGTTTACTCGATTCCCGTTATGAGTCCACCGGTCAACAACATAGTCGTGTTACCGCCGCCGCCGACGCAAATTTTCACGCACCGGTCGCATTCGCAGAAATGGGTCGAGCAAATCATACAGGCGTGCTCGAAGAATAAGCGAGCATTACGTAAACTGAAAGAGAAGAGGAGGCGAGACCGCAAGAAACTGGTAAACGCCAGCCAAACAGGCGATTCTATGATCAGCACCATCGATTTATCGGAGAGCTGCGAACCGGAGGACTTAAAAAACGTGTGCCTGATCAGCGACGACGAGTCGAACGGCTCGGACGACGTTATCATTGTCGAAACCAAGGCCGAGGTTATCAATGTTGATTGCGAAACCGAACCGGTCGCCCCCGAACCACCTGCCCTTCCGCCCGATAGCCTAAATGTCTGCGATTCGAACGCGTCCTTCGATTTCTTAGAGGGCACCAGCTTGTGCAAAGGCAAAACGTCGACGCCTAACGCGAAGACTGAGCGCAACGAAACGGACAGCGGCCGTAGCAGCACTCTCGACTATTGCGAGAATCTGACGGGCCGGGAGATCGCCGGACCGTCTAGTAGTACGTTTTCCGAATTGAATTTGGACGGTTTTACGAGTTACATCGCGTCTAATGGGAAACGGTCGGCGGACGATGCGTCTCTCTCGATGTCGCTTGCGAGTAAGAGAGTGAGACAGGTCTCAGCCAACAGTTCCGATTCCAGCTCTGAGAGTGACACGGAAAGTTTGCCAGAAGTCGACCCCAAAAGTGAAAGTGCCAGAGATGACGAAGAGTGCGGGGTGCAAAAGGAAGAAGAGGTAGTGACGGTTAATGAGAGCGTCCCGTTGGAAGTTTCCGTGGTTGACATTGACACAGTAGCCGAGGAAAACGAAGTTATTTGTATAGAGGATGACAATAGTAGCCCGAGTGTCGAGGTGTCGGCCGACAATACTCACGAAGGCTTCAGTAAGTACTGGACGGACGACATGGATCAGTTTTACAAGGAGAGTTGGGGGCAGGAGGACTTTAGCGTCATCGAGCAACAGCGGCTTATGTCCGGTACTGTTATTAACGTGTGACGCATTTCGTTCTTATTTCAACTTTTAGATGATCCGAGTATGTGGAGGGTAATCGCAAAGGATAGGCTTAACACGGTCAAATCGAGGGATCCGAGATGTCGAAGGTGTCTGGAATTTGGTCACCTCGCCTTTAAGTGTACCACGAAGTTGAACCCCGTCACTTGTTGTCTATGCGGAACGAAGGGGCACAGGGAGAATCGCTGTCCGAATACAGTTTGTACTTCGGTGAGTCAAGGGAGCGATGGACCACATTTCTAAAACTTTCAAAATACGAAATATTCCACACATTTAATAACTCCGCCCCCTTTGTCCATGCAGTGTTGCCACATTTCATATTTTTGACACTTCAAAATTTTCATTTCCAACAAATTTGACAGTTCTAATCCAGGTTTGGATAAGTGTAGGTAAGATTCCCCCTTCCCTCCTCTCGCCACTACGAATTGAAATGAAAAACTGTGATCATACGCGTTTGAAAACTAAGTTTCGGGCAAGTCAAGTCAAGGAGGTAGGATCCCCCCCTCACCCACACCATAATAGTATATTTAGAAGTGAAATAGATATAAGCAGGGTAAGATTATTCTCATGGCTTGCGCAATGGTGTAAAGAGGTAAGATTGCCTCCCCCCTCCCAGGATAAATATAATGTTTACATAGTGAAATAAATAAAAAGTCCGAAATTATTCTGAAACAAAAAATACCCTCCCTCATGACCGCTCTGTCACCTTTGGGTGACCTTGAAAATGTAATTTAACGCCACAAATAATCGTTACATTGATCTTTGGTGATGAAAATGTAATTTTATACCCTCAAAGAATGGGACCTTGGAAATGTAACTTGACACCTCAAAAACGAAATACGATAACCAAAGCGTGCCCTTTGAGCTTTACCTTGGCCTACTTTCCAAGGTCACCGCCACGTGACACGTCACCTTAACCTACTTTCCAAGGTTACCGCTAGGTGGCGGGCGACCTTGAACAGGTCTAGGTTTAGTCTACATCTACTTTTTTCAGTTGTTTGACGTGCGTTTAATTTCTTTTTTGTATATATATAAAGTTCAAAGGGCTGTAACTTTTGATCTAGTAGTCCAATCTTGGAAATTATGGATTTTACGGGCCAAATTCTATAAGAAAATGTTTTTTCCCGGTTGATCTCAGACAATTTTTTTTCCGGCCTCAAAAAAAGGCAGGGTATTACCTTCCTTTTTTTTACCAAAAATCGACTGCTCCAAAATTTCTCGGGAAAACACTTTTTCTCACTAATTTTGGTGCGTAGAATCCAAAACGATTCGTACTTTTTCGATCAGGCCCCTCAATCAAAAGTTATGGACTAATTACAAATTTCGACAAAAACTTCAAAGGGCTGTAACTTTTGATCTAGCAGTCCAATCTTGGAACTGTTTGAAATTATGGATTCTACGGGCCAAATTCTATAAGAAAATGTTTTTTTCCGGTCGATCTCAGACAATTTTTTTTCCGGCCTCAAAAAAAGGCAGTTATTACCTTCCTCTTTTACCAAAAATCGACTGCTCCAAAATTTCTCGGGAAAACACTTTTTCTCACTAATTTCAGTGCGTAGAATCCAAAACGATTCGTACTTTTTCGATCACACCTCTCAATCAAAAGTTATGGACTATATAAAAATTTCGACTATGTATATATATATATATATATATAATTATTTTTTAAGAAGCGTTAGGAATAAGGTTTTTGAAACTTTTTCTTTTCTTACAGTGCGGATTAAAGACTCCATGTTACACGACCTTCTGTCAAAGATGCGTGAGTAGACAACACATAAAGTGCTCCATTTGCGACATGTTCGGTCACGCGGACTCCCACTGTCCCGACTTATGGCGACGGTATCTTTTCACGGTAAGTGCGCATGCCAGCTTGAGATTCGGACGGGGCCACATGGAAAACGCAAATTTTATACGTTTGTTCAATTATTGCTCAGATTCTCTTTTGATAAGCGGGGAGCACGATCTACTGCAATTTCAGACCACTGTAGCGTATTTTCTAGTACGATATCAAGGCGCCATCAAGTCGATAACGGATTAGTCACCGGCGATAAGGAATGAACTTGTTCCTTTTATGAAACATGATATACTAACATTTTCTAGAAGCTTTTTGTTTGCTATATAAGCAAGTGTTTAGTTTCGATGTCGGAGTGATAAATAATTTAAATTTAAGCCAATAAGTGATAAATATGAACTGTGTACTTAATATTTTGGTTATAGTACCGCAATTTTAGCAGCAATAAGACAATAGTACCAGGAAGACAACATCAATAACGATATTCACGGAATGTTGTTAAAATGTTTTTGAGGACTGGCCACGCCGCAGATGGTGCCGTTCTTGTTTTGAACAATGTGGACCAGGTGGACGACCAAATTGTTGTAAATTTCATATGATGTTTAAATTGCAATAAATTTGCAGGTGTTTTTTGTTATAATCTTTTGAGATTAATGTTAGGCTCTTTAGATGTGATCAAGTTAATGTGTTCGACAATAGAACAATTGGTGTTGTGGAAGTGCTTACGAAATAGGAAGTTGGAACATGATCAGGTATTTTTTATAAAAGTGAGAAAAAACCCAAGGTCAACCGAGATCGTTCTATAACCAAAATAAATTATTATCTAACAAACGATAAGTTTCTCTGCTCAATAATCGAAGAGATAGAGAAAAATTACGAAAGTGTACAGCGAAAGAAGAAAAAAGTGTTTTAAAAGTAAGTGACATTTTTCTATTATCTTCTGTGCTAATTTGACGAACATTAAATTAGATTCTGAGTAGATTATACCGTTTTTTTTAATGCATGTTTCAGATTCCTTGAACTACCTTCTATCTTTCGAGTTTTTCGGATTTTAGCGATTATCCGAATGGCCCATCTCCTAATTTTGGCGGCTGGCCCCTCGTGCGAGGTATACTTCGACCAGTTGGCCCGCAGTCTGTATCAGAAACAGATCTGTTCATTAAAACCTCATCTTTTTTTATGGAGGTTTAGGTTTGCCGCGTGGTGACCTTGGAATTTAGATCAACAATTGATGTGTTAAATTACATTTTCAAGGGCATACAAGGTCAATGTTCCCATTTTTGAGATGTTAAATTACATGTTCGACGTCATCCAAGGTCAATGGCTTTATTCTTATGTGGTGTCTCAAGGTCAAAGAGTCCATTTCTTGGGGTGTCAAATAATCAAATTACATTTTCAAGGGCATAGAAGGCCAATGACCTCATGCTTGCTGTGTCAAAATACATGTTCGAGGTCATGCAAGGTCAATTCAGTCTTTCATTCTCCCATCATCTAATTTCATTTGAAGGTCAATGGTCCCATTTTTATGGTGCCATAATTCATTTTCAATGTATTAAAGTTCAATGGCCTCCACCTGTTTGGTGTCTCATTTTCAAGTCCATCAAAGGTCAATGACCCCATTTTTGTGATCTTTTTTTATTTTTAAGATTAACAAAGGTCAATGGCGCCATTTTTGTTTTGTCAAATTACAATTTCAATGGCTGCATTTTTATGTGGTATCAAATTATATTTTCAAGGCCATAGAAAGGCAATGACCTCATCTATTGTTGTTGCTAATTACATTCTCGAGGCCATTGTTTAACTCACCTGTTTCCGAACTAGCTGTTTCTATGCTACAGACCAGCAGAATTTTCGCACGGTCAAGTGGTCAAGTGCCCCAATACCTACTGATTACTTTGGATTCTTCTGTTTCTTCATATTTTTTAAATGTTTCTTTTTCGGTTTCTTCCAATTTTTCAAACTTCAATTTTTTTCTGCATTTTTTAAGAATAAAAAAATGTGCTATTGTTTGCGTTTTGTCAGTCCGTCCGTCCGGACCCACTTCTACCATTTTGAACTACTTCTATAGGAATGGTGCTAGAGTCCTGGAATTTTTTGCAGTAGGTAGCCTATGCCTTGAAGGTGTGCCAGACGGCCATCAAATTTCGCTGTCTAAAAGGACCCCCCCCCCCCCCCATGAATTATTTCCTGAGATGCTGTTTTTGAAAGTAAAACGTGCATAACTTTTACATTCGACAACCAACTGGTATCAGATTTTGCATACGCATGTCTTGAGTGGAGAAAACTGGAGGGGGGGGGGCACATGTTCTACCCTTCATGGTATTCTAATAAAAGGTCGCTTCGAAATAAATTGGTGTGTACAAACTATAACTTTCCCATGCGACTCTTTTTCGAGATCAGTGAGCTACGGGGCCTGAGGAGGGGGGGGGGGGGAGGTTAAAAATAAATTGTATCCCTCGTTGTATTCTAATGAAAGGTCTCAACGAAAGGAACACTTTTCTGCAAACTACTGCCCGTTTTTCTGTCCTCTTATCAAAGTACGGGGTGGAGGGGAAGGGGGGGGGGAGTAGAACTAGTTTTATCCTTCATGGTACTCTAATGAAAGGTCTCAACGAAAGGAATTAATTTCTACCAACCATAGCCCTCCTCCTCGCTCCTTGACCTCTATTATCGTGATCGAGTATATTCCCGTATGCAAAAAGGGATTGTCGAAAGAGGGTACTCACAAAGGGCGATTATTGTTATATAAAATATACATGATTAATGAGACCGTTCTGTGCGCTGTTTAAAAATTGCGTGAGTGTGACTAGAAATCCCATAAAGACGTAAGTTCAGAAAAGTAATGTATTTCATGTGGCCCATGTAGGTATGGTCTCTTTGTGTCCATCTCATTATAACTGAACTTCTTTGCGTAGATCGAAGAGGGCGCAATGCAACAACCAACCGGAGCCAACATGAAACAATTGGAAGATATTTGGTGTTCGGGTTGCAGCAGGAAGGGTCACTTGGAGCAAAACTGCTACCATCCCAAAAGGTCTCATCCTCCCGCTAGTGTTTTCATCCATAGCTTTCAGAGTGTGTACAGCGCCGATCCGCCTTGTAAGTTAAACGAAACTGTGGAAGAAGCGCAGTGGAAGAAGTGGCCCTTGGGTGTTCTCAACCGTAAGTTATTCGTCGGACAAGAGGCGTCGATATTTTTGAAGACACTCGAAGCAAAAACAGGCGTGGCTGTTCGTGTTACAAAAACGTATCCTAACGTAACGCTTTCGTACCAAGAAACTCGAGAGAACACCCAATCAGAAGCGATGGCCGCCGTTCAAAGGTTTATAAATACAAAAAGCCATAAAAGTCTGAAATGCGACGCAAAGAAAGCGACAATAGACGATCTTCAAAGTAATTTGGACTTCTTAAACGATAGTAAAGTAAACTGGTTTCATGTAGCACACAAAATGTACGGGATGATTAAAAAACTAACCTCGGCGATTAGTGGCTCTACCGAGTCGAAATATTTAAATCAACAAAGGGAAATGAAAGCGCTGTATCGGAAATTAAACGCCATAATTATCGGCAAACTGAAGATCGGACCCGATCGAATCCACATGGACGCCTTGGCAGAGGGCCTCGCGAGAGGCCAGGTACCGAGACCCACGTTCGAGCGCGTCTTCAACAGCGATCGCATACTTTACCCGAACTATGGGGACTTAATCGCGCGATTACCGACCGCCATTGATTTTGAGGAGATGAAAAATAAAACTGTAAATGTCTGCCGGAATCGTGGTTTAAACGTTCGGCTGAGAAAAGTGCTTTACGATTACAGTTGCCTTATAATATCGGATTATTCCGAGGAGTGCGTGTCCTCGTTTAAACTTGCCTGCTCTGCGAAACCACAAGCGCAAGAAAAAGGTGTTTAAATCGATTATTTGTTTTTTTAGAATCTTTATTTTTTGTTTGTAACTCGGAAATTTTGTATTAAAAATACAAATTTTTGATATAACGGTAGTAGTTCATTAATCCGATATTCTAGAAAGTCCCCTCCCCCCCCTCCGGAACATTGGAACAAACACAAATCCTGAATAATCCTCACCTTCAAGAAGAAACGGATGGTTCAAGCACCGTAACAAAAAAAATTACCGCTTTCTGCAAACCAAACCAAACGGATGTCCCGATTTTTAACCAATTCCTATTACGTAACACCTGCAGAAAGACCTCGAATCGTGCAATAACGGAGACGCGGAAAACCAAAATTCATACTACGGTCAAAAATTATACGCCTGTGCAGTTATCACACTAAAATTGAACTAACCGTCTGTACCGGGTGACCCAATAAGACTGCTCCTCGGCCGTATAGAACAGATGGCATTATTTTACTGCTAATCTGAACTTCGCCTTGTACTAACTTTATCTGTTATTTATTTTTCTTTTTTTTTAATAAAGGCAATATTATTATTATTATTATTATATCTCGGGAACCGTTCGTCGTATGACTTACGTGTAAAAAAAATTATTGGGTAAATCGGTTATGAAGAATCGTTGGAAAATATTTTCAAGTTCCTAAAATGACCACCAGAGGGCGTAACTGCCATTTTAAAAAATTTAAAATTGCATTTATTTAAATTTCAGACCCCCCCCCCCCGTTACTACATTCTTCCCCAAAAATGGTTAGAGTTAGCAATAAACATGGAATACTCAAGGTCCGACCGTACCTTTCAAAAGTGTCATAAGAGTTTTCCTCAGGGCTTGAAGTTTTAAGTAAAAAACGTAACTTTGGGGGGGGGGTGGTATGGAATACCCCACAGTAAAGGAAAATCAGTTATCTCTTTTTCTGCAATCATTATCACGAAATACCTCCTTTTGGGGATTCCGTCCTCTCCAGAAGTAATATGTTTCCAAGAAAAGTGAGAGCATCACATGCGTCAGATTTATACCTACAAAACCGCACCGTTCAAAATCTAAAGGTTGATCGCAGTTCAAAGTTCAAAGGTTGGTTGCCGGTCAAAGTTCAAAATTTGCTCACCGTTCTTGTTCGTTATTATTTATTGATTAAAATTATACAATTTTGACTGTTGCGTCTGAAAATAAAAACCAAATATCGCAAACTGCTGTCTGCACAAAAAGAAATAATAATCATTCAACAGAATTGAATGGGCGTATGCCAGACCCCCCCCCCCCCCGTACTACATTCTCCCCCAAAAATGGTTAGAGTTAGCAATAAACATGGAATACTCAAGGTCCGACCGTACCTTTCAAAAGTGTCATAAGAGTTTTCCTCAGGTCTTGAAGTTTTAAGTAAAAACCGTAACTTTAGGGGGGGGGGTATGGAATACCCCACAGTAAAGGAAAATCAGATATCTCTTTTTCTGCAATCATTATCACGAAATACCTCCTTTTGGGGATTCCGTCCTCTCCAGAAGTTGCGTAATATGTTTCCAAGAAAAGTGAGAGCATCACATGCGTCAGATTTATACCTACAGACACCGTTCAAAATCTAAAGGTTGATCGCAGTTCAAAGTTCAAAGGTTGGTTGCCGGTCAAAGTCCAAAATTTGCTCACCGTTCTTGTTCGTTATTATTTATTGATTAAATTTATACAATTTTAACTGTTGCGTTGCGTCTGAAAATAAAAACCAAATATCGCAAACTGCTGTCTGCACAAAAAGAAATAATAATCATTCAACAGAATTGAATGGGCGTATGCCAGACCCCCCCCCCCCCCGTACTACATTCTCCCCCAAAAATGGTTAGAGTTAGCAATAAACATGGAATACTCAAGGTCCGACCGTACCTTTCAAAAGTGTCATGAGAGTTTTCCTCAGGGCTTGAAGTTTTAAGTAAAAAACGTAACTTTGGGGGGGGGTGTATGGAATACCCCACAGTAAAGGAAAATCAGTTATCTCTTTTTCTGCAATCATTATCACGAAATACCTCCTTTTGGGGATTCCGTCCTCTCCAGAAGTTGCGTAATATGTTTCCAAGAAAAGTGAGAGCATCACATGCGTCAGATTTATACCTACAAACACCGCACCGTTCAAAATCTAAAGGTTGATCGCAGTTCAAAGTTCAAAGGTTGGTTGCCGGTCAAAGTTCAAAATTTGCTCACCGTTCTTGTTCGTTATTATTTATTGATTAAAGTTATACAATTTTAACTGTTACGTCTGAAAATAAAAACCAAATATCGCAAACTGCTGTCTGCACAAAAAGAAATAATAATCATTCAACAGAATTGAATGGGCGTATGCCAGACCCCCCCCCCCCCCGTACTACATTCTCCCCCAAAAATGGTTAGAGTTAGCAATAAACATGGAATACTCAAGGTCCGACCGTACCTTTCAAAAGTGTCATAAGAGTTTTCCTCAGGGCTTGAAGTTTTAAGTAAAAAGCGTAACTTTGGGGGGGGGGGTATGGAATACCCCACAGTAAAGGAAAATCAGTTATCTCTTTTTCTGCAATCATTATCACGAAATACCTCCTTTTGGGGATTCCGTCCTCTCCAGAAGTTGTGTAATATGTTTCCAAGAAAAGTGAGAGCATCACATGCGTCAGATTTATACCTACAAACACCGTTCAAAATCTAAAGGTTGATCGCAGTTCAATGTTCAAAGGTTGGTTGCCGGTCATAGTCCAAAATTTGCTCACCGTTCTTGTTCGTTATTATTTATTGATTAAATTTATACAATTTTAACTGTTGCGTCTGAAAATAAAAACCAAATATCGCAAACTGCTGTCTGCACAAAAAGAAATAATAATCATTCAACAGAATTGAATGGGCGTATGCCAGACCCCCCCCCCCCCCGTACTACATTCTCCCCCAAAAATGGTTAGAGTTAGCAATAAACATGGAATACTCAAGGTCCGACCGTACCTTTCAAAAGTGTCATAAGAGTTTTCCTTAGGGCTTGAAGTTTTAAGTAAAAAACGTAACTTTGGGGGGGGGGTGGTAGGGAATACCCCACAGTAAAGGAAAATCAGTTATCTCTTTTTCTGCAATCATTATCACGAAATACCTCCTTTTGGGGATTCCGTCCTCTCCAGAAGTTGTGTAATATGTTTCCAAGAAAAGTGAGAGCATCACATGCGTCAGATTTATACCTACAAACACCGTTCAAAATCTAAAGGTTGATCGCAGTTCAAAGTTCAAAGGTTGGTTGCCGGTCAAAGTTCAAAATTTGCTCACCGTTCTTGTTCGTTATTATTTATTGATTAAAATTATACAATTTTAACTGTTACGTCTGAAAATAAAAACCAAATATCGCAAACTGCTGTCTGCACAAAAAGAAATAATAATCATTCAACAGAATTGAATGGGCGTATGCCAGACCCCCCCCCCCCCCGTACTACATTCTCCCCCAAAAATGGTTAGAGTTAGCAATAAACATGGAATACTCAAGGTCCGACCGTACCTTTCAAAAGTGTCATAAGAGTTTTCCTCAGGGCTTGAAGTTTTAAGTAAAAAGCGTAACTTTGGGGGGGGGGGTATGGAATACCCCACAGTAAAGGAAAATCAGTTATCTCTTTTTCTGCAATCATTATCACGAAATACCTCCTTTTGGGGATTCCGTCCTCTCCAGAAGTTGTGTAATATGTTTCCAAGAAAAGTGAGAGCATCACATGCGTCAGATTTATACCTACAAACACCGTTCAAAATCTAAAGGTTGATCGCAGTTCAAAGTTCAAAGGTTGGTTGCCGGTCAAAGTCCAAAATTTGCTCACCGTTCGTTATTATTTATTGATTAAATTTATACAATTTTAACTGTTGCGTCTGAAAATAACCAAATATCGCAAACTGCTGTACAAAAAGAAATAATAATCATTCAAACGAATTGAATGGGCGTGATTTCAAATGAAATTGGCGATGGCGTCAAAAATTTCGCACCATGTGGCCCATATTGCACTATCGGCATGTTATAACTAATCTTCTTTGCTTAGACCAGGGAAGGCGAGGTTCAACGGCCAGAAGCAGGAGACGAGAAGCGATTAGAAGACCTCTGGTGTTCGGGCTGCGGTACGAATGGTCACGTCGAACAGCACTGTCGCTATTACAGATCTCACGCAGCCGTCAGTGCCACTATTCACAGCTTTCAGAGCGTGTACATCAGCAAGCCAAATTCTCCTGAAGTTGCAGAGCTCGTACAAGACTGGCACATAAGTTCTTCCAAGAATAAGTATCTCGTGGGGAAAGAGGCGTCGATATTCTTAAAGACACTCCAAAAGAAAACAGCCGTCAATGTTTCCATTAAGGAAACTCCTCAAAATTTACACCTCTTACTGTCTGGAGGTACAGAAGAGAGTCAATCAAGTGTGAAAGACGCGATACAACGGTTTATAGCTGCAAAGAAACTATTTGCTAAGCAAAAGCAGCTGTCTTTCAGCAAACAGACAGCAACGGTACAGTCGCTTGAAACTAACTTAAACACTTTGGAAGATGACACTATAGACTGGCGGGGTGTAGCCCGATCAACTTATACACAAATTAACCGTCAATCTTTGTCTATGCAAGACTGCAGTACTGAAACGATATATAAAGAGATCGATGACAATATTAAATCGCTATACCAGAAATTGAACACGATAATTATTGCCAAACTGGACAGTAAATCCCACATGGATACATTGCAGAAATGTCTCGACACTGGATCGATGGCGTTTCATTCATTCCACCACGTTTTTAATAGCGACCACTCCATTTTTCCCAACTACAACGAACTAATCGCCGAATTACCGTGCGCCTCCACCCCTAACTTCGAAGAGGCGAGAAACGAAGCCGTCGCCGTGTGTAAGCGGCGCAAGTTCCGGGTTTGGTTAAAGACCGTGCTACACTATTACAGTTGTCTTATAATATCGAATTATTCCGAGAAATACGTTCCTTTGTTTCAACTCGCCTGCTCTAGAGCTAGCGCTGCCAAAAACGATCGAAAGAAGAAGTAGTCGTTTTGTGAAGTTGCAAATGCGCGAAAATCTCCATTGTGTAAGATCTTTTGTATGAAAAATACAAATTTTTACCTCTTAATGCAATTTTATTTATACATCAGATCTTTCCAGACCCTCTCACGGTGTTAATTAAATATTTGATATTTGATTTATTTTATGTATTTGTGTGGGCTGTGCCGGGGTTTTTGGTCCGTAGAAGGTTTCCCTGGTATCGCCTTATTGTATGCGTCATATTTCAAGTTCTTGTCTTTTCGTACAACGTAGTTCGTGCGATCCAGTCCTCAAAAAAGGCGTGTTAGAGGTTTTACAATTTGAAGTTGATCAAAGACTTGTGGGCTACTAAGGGGGAATTAGTTTTATTTAAAAAAATGAATAAATTAAGCTCTGAACCAGAAGTAAACTGAATTTTCGAGGTTCAACGACGTATTAAAAATCTCCAACTGATTTTCTTCTACAAAAACTTTCCCATTGGCAAGACTTACGGTAAAACAAGAGGCTACGTAAAAAAACGACGATTAACGCCCGTCTCTTCTATTTAAAACAATTATCCTTTCGTTTCAACTTCGCCTACATTAACAAATTAATGCGTCGTTGAACGATAAACTGCGCCTGTGTTTTCTTACTTTGAAACTAATTAGCCTACGCAGTGATAACAATACTTCTTATCCAGGACCGGCGATAAACAATTAATTCAAGATATTTAAATCTAGACTTAACACGTAATAAAATTGTCATGTTTTAGCCGCCGATAAGGAAATTCAGATACTGTAACTAATTTGCCGTTTGTAACCGTTCCCGTAGATATTTAAATTATTTGTCCAACATCCGAAAGCTCCCTCTGATTGAAAGCCGATTTCCTATGTTTATTTATCATTATCGCAGTTTATGGGCATCACTAGGCTACCGAGTTTGGAAATTTTAATAATGCCAATTAAGTAGTTAATTAAGAAATGGCTACCGTCCCGTGTGTCGTAATTTTGTTTTAGATATTCGCCAGCGACTCCGCCGCCATTTGCCCGCAAGATCTCTGGAATGTTCCGCTTCATTTCGTTTGAGTACCGGCGGGTTCCGAATTTCTGTTACGAAACCACCGCCGTTGATCAGGAGCAAGGGTGAAAGAAGAAAGCTGGCTGTTCGGTCTCGGAGAGGATGAACGTTTCTTACGTTACAGTCATCTTGGTTTGAGCTTTCGTCGAGAGGGCATCGTGTAGTTTAGTTTGCTGTTTTTGTGTTATTTATCTAATGCATTTGTTTATAATTTACTTGTGTTTCTTGTAAAGTCATTTTCAATCTTTGTTTTGAAATTAACACGATTTAACCTCCGTTACTTTGTATTGTTTGAAATTGTTTTCGTTTTTGGTGTAAATGTTTGCTCAATTTATGGTTATGTTTTGATTACGTTTATACATTTGGCCATTAATTTAAATATGTGGAAGTTATTGAATTGTTTGATGTGTGTAATGACTTGTGTGTAAACTAACAATTCCCGCAAGAGAGTTTGTGGTTCAGTGGTAAAGCGTTTGGTTACATAGCCGGAGATCGAGTGTTCGCACTTGGGCTGAGGTAACAATTTTTTTTTAATGTTTCTTTTATTGTAGATGGTTGTACTCCGAATAATGCACATACCATATAACTGAACATAAAGGGGATATTCTACAAATGACTTTGAGAGGTTCCACCCTGTATATACAACTTACGACGATACATACATTTTTGTGAGTTGGCAACCATGCAATTTTTAGGTGGGAAAAAGCCGCCTGCGCCATCTAAACAGCACGGACGAGGATTACGTTTGGCGTATTGAATGGCGGTCGTGAACGCGTCGCTCCATAAATGTTTGTTGTTATTTTGTGTTTTTTAATGCAGGTAGTAAATCTTTGCATTTCTTTATATCGTATTTGTGTTTTCTATGTCACATTTTATATTTTTTGTGTGTTTGAATCTTTGTTTTTGAAATTTACTTGGTTTCACCGCAATGCAGACTCACATATTTGATACCGTTATGCTATTGTTTGTAATTGTTTACCTTTTTGGTGTAATGCTTGTTTAATTTATGTTTATTGATGTTGATTACTTGGTCTCGTCCCTGAAATAACATTCATGTAAGTTTTGATTTTTCTTTTAATATGTGAAAATTACCGATTCGATTGATGCATGTACTGACTTGTTGTTTGTAACTAACATTTTCTCCGTGAATGAAGCAGTCACGGGGGTGGTAAAAACTGTAGTCAAATTTGTGTTACGACACCTAATTCCGTGATTGTTTTCGACGTTCAACTGTAGGCTTGAAACTCCTAACGAGGGGCGACGCTACCTATCTTGCCGGAGCGGGATTATGCTAATCAAAACTCGTCGGTTTAGAATCTATGTACGATAAATGAGTTAGGATTCGTAGTTTTCCCATATTTTGTTTGTAGTTAAATTTGCCTATAGGGCCATGTAATTTTCCATGTTGCTTTTAACAAAAGGACTTTATTGCACCAAAGATGAGTCACATCCTGTGTATTTCACCCTTTCTTATTTCATTTCATTTCATTTTATTATTTGTGATCTATACAATAGTATTTTCACACGTCATCAGGTACAATTACATAATATTAAAAAAAAAAGACAAAGGACACGAGAACATGATCACACAAGGTACTGTTGCTTTTAAAACTTAAATGTTATCAAATTTATCTTTTAAAAATTCTTCATAAGAATAAAAAGCTTTTCGTTTAAGGTAACTATTTACACAGTTTTTAAATGCGTGCAAATCTAAATATTTTATTTGTTTTGGCAAGACATTGAAAAATTTCATGCCGTAAAATGTAGTGCCATCTTTGGTCTTGTTTAATCTATGAAACGGTATATAAAGATTCTCTTTGTTCCTTGTATTGTAAGTATGAATATCCGTGCTTACAGTTAGTGTAGTCATGTGTTCTTTAGTATATATTAAACATTGCTGTATGTAAATGCAAGGTAATGTCAATATATTTAATTCGATAAAACCCTGACGACAACAATCTCTGTATTTAAGGTTTTTTAATAATCGTATACATTTGCGCTGCAAACCAAATAATACTCGAGAGTGGGCAGAATGGCCCCATGCAAGAATTGAATTAGATTGATTAGAACCTTGGTACCTGCTTACCTGACCCATAATTCCCAAAACTTGTTTTTAACCTATATGTTACCTCTTGAACTCTACCTGCTACTTTTTGTGATGTTATAATTTTATGTTACGCATTCACATCATTGCAAATAATTTTACTTTACACCTGCCCTGGTTAGATGTTTGATCACATGCCACTTTTCAAATTTAAGCGGGATGTTGTTTAGTTTTGGAGGGAATACTCTTTCGAGTGGCCATTTTCAAACGTTGCCAGGTCGATTTTATTTCCGCGTTACTGTAGTGTGAAGTTCGCGTAGAATTTGCGGTTCAAGTACACTGCAATACTGTCCCGCAAATGCACCTGCACATCTAATTAGGTATTTATTATCTCAAGAAGGTGTATGTACTTGTATCTAATTACTGAAATAAAAACACCTGTAACACCGCCGCTTTTTTTAACAACCCTGTATATTGTAGAAGGCTTTGACATGTGCCACTACCGACTACTGGCCGTCTATATAGACACAGCAACGTTAATCGATGTGCACAAGGGGGTTTGTTTGTTGTGTTTAGTTTGTGCAAAAGTTCCTTTTGACCCAGAAATGGATCCACCTCCGCATAAACGACCACGAATGGGGCTGTTACCTCAGACTCAGCCTCAGTTAGGCTTGAACAATCTTGAGGTAAGTCATAGCTAAAGAGACATCTTTCATTCAATTCAATTGTTTTGGGTATCAAATTTGAACATAAACTCCATCAGATTGATTCATTTGCATCAAGCGATGTTCGATACACAGTTTCTGTTTCACCCCCTTTTGAGGCTGTGTACGTGTAAGTGTCTTCGGTGTTTGATGCTTGGGATGAACCCTTGTCTTTCTCTGTACGGCATAAGTAAACACATCTTTTATCTCATCAGAGAGTTTCGGTAGGGTCATTATAGAGCTACCGAGCAATTTATTTATCATAAGGCCTCGAAAATTAAACAAGATTTCATCCAAATCCTCTCAATGAGCAAGTTAGCAGCGACCGAAAATATCATGATATTTATATAAATATATCACATTCACATGATATATATCGGATATATATCAGATAAATATCGGATATATCAGATATATATCGGATATATATCAAATGATGCTTTGGTTTTGGCATATTAATTAAATAAAAATTATTATTCTTATTCACACAACACAACAGTGAACAGTCAGGGAAAGCCTGAAAAAGCAAATAAAACATTAAACAAATCGTTGCGCCGGTGATTCATCTGATCTGCAACAGAGCTGGGCAGAATACTTTCAAAAAGTATTTGAATACTAAATAGTAAATACTTTACACAAATCAAAGGTATTTGAATACTAAATACTTTTACGTCCAGCACAAGCGAATACTATACAGATACATTGAAAAGTATTCAAATACTTTAAAAAATAAGTATTCAAATACTTTAGAATGTATTCGAATATTTTCAAAAGTATTCTAATACTATCAAAGGTATTCGAATACTATAAGAAGTATTCGAATACTTTGAAAAGTATTTCATTTACTTACTTTGAAAAAGTATTCGAATACTTGCCACTCAAATACATTAAAAATTTAAAATAGTATACTAGATAAAAGGCTTAATACTACTTAAAAAATCAAGTTATACTTTGTATGGGGTTAGCTTTTTTTATATTTCTATTGTTATATACAAATTTAAGGGGAGTAAAAGCGTATTATTATTATTATTATTATATTATTATATAGGAGGTACCTATACCAGGACCTTTCTTATACCAGTTATATCCTTAAGAATACGTGTACCAGTTTTCAAAGCGATCGTACGTCGTGCACATGATACGTACGCCTTTCTGAAATTAATCTTAGCGATTTTGGAACAGATCCATTTTTGACCATCCGTTTGTCCGTGTGCATGATAACTTGTTTAGAAACGTGCGATCGCTTTGAAAATTGGTACCATAGGTCCATATTGTTTTTAAGTTACGTAGACTATCGAGTTCGGTATTCAGATGTATCGGATTTTTATATTTGATTTTGTGACAATGGAAACTTTCCCTAAACATTTCTAAATTGTTCTCAAATATTTGAATAACTTAAAAAGTACTGCCTTTTTTTGAGGCCGGAAAAAAAATTGTCTGAGATCGACCGGGAAAAAACATTTTCCTATAGAACTTGGCCCGTAGAATGCATAATTTCAAACAGTTTGAAGATTGGGCTACTAGATCAAAAGTTACAGCCCTTTGAATTTTTTTTCGAAATTTGTTTTTTGTCCATAACTATTTATTGAGAGGTCTAATCGAAAACGTACGAATTGTTTTGGATTCTACGCACCAAAATTGATAAGAAAAAGTGTTTTCCCGAGAAATTTTGGTGTAGTTGATTTTTGGTAAAAAAGGAAGGTTATACACTGCCTTTTTTTGAGGCCCGCAAAAAAAATTGTCTCAGATCGACCCGGAAAAAAATTTTTCTTATAGAATGTGGCCTGTAGAATCCATAATTTCAAACAGTTCCAAGATTGGGCTATTAGTTCAAAAGTTACAGCCCTTTGAATTTTCTTTCGAAATTGGTTTCTAGTCTATAACTTTTGATTGAGAAGTCTGATCGAAAAAGTACGAATTGGTTTGGATTCTACGCACCAAAATTAATAAGAAAAAGTGTTTTCCCGAGAAATTTTGGAGTAGTCGATTTTTGGTAAAAAAAGGAAGGTTAAGTATTCAAATACTATGCGAAGTATTCGAATACTAAATATTTGTGAAAGTATTTGAGTTACAAATACAAATACTGTTTCCATAAAAGTATTTAATTACAAAGTATTTGAATACTAAAAAGTATTTACAACATCGAATACTGCCCAGCTTTGATCTGCAATAAGGGAGTACCCGATCGGCGAAGCTCGCGCCGCAGCCGAACGGATCAATACTATACAGTTTATTATTGAATATATCTGATATATATCGCGGGATATATATCCTCCGAACCCTGGTTATTAGTATTAATTCTGGTGACTGTTATTGTGACAATTATAAATTCATTACCTGCATGAAGTAAATTGAAGTCTGTACAAGAAGGACCATTTACTCGCATATTTTCTACATTTCGATGAAAAACGTGCTGCGTCTTCAGTGGGTAAAGTGGATTGTCAAGGTGAGGCGTCTGGAGGGAGGACAGGTGGAGAGGTTCTTGAGAAAGAAGGTATACTGTATTTGGTTCATTTTAGGTGCATTATTGTTTGCAATGAGTCGGTTACACTGGAGGGCCTCGTGACTCTTTTGGCAGATGCGGGTGGTAATCTTATGATCCTCAACCGTGGCAATAATTGAAAATCTTCTACAGTGGCAGACTGCTACGTGGAAGATTCATTTCACACCAAATTAGAGATTGTGAAGAAAGTAATGTTGAAACAAGAACCAGATTACCAACAAGTATCAATATAATTGGGATGATTAATTTGTTAACTTTAACTTAATAAACAATATACCAGAGATAAAACATCAAATAATGTGGAAAATGTGTAATTTTTTCCACTAAAATTGAACCTTCTTTATTATATAGACGGTTTTGGACAAAATAAATGAACTAGAATATCTTTGACTGATTTATTTTTATTGTAGTCTTCTGACATGCTGACATTAAATGGGAATGTCAAGTCCGGAAACGGAAAACTCGAAATTCCATCTACGCCGCCAGAACTGATTAAACACCTGCATCGCTTATCTCTCACGAGACATTGTTTGTCTTGTCTTGCCCGATAACGACTTTTTATCAACACCTAACCAGATAATATTTTCATTAAACGTTCCCGTTTTAAATTTATGATACAACTTAAATACAAAATGGAATTAAACAATTAGCGACTAAATTTACAATTAAAAAAAAACTAACATTCAAATGATAAATCAACAAATTTTTCCATTCTGTCTATTTGAAATAAAAAAAAAACCGTTAGTTCCTTCAGCAAGGTGTGGTAAACGACAAACAAATTAGTTCACTTATTTTAGAGAAAATCACAGCTAGTAGTTAGTAACACATATAACGGGTAGTTACAAAATAAATGTTCGTATGAAACATTTTTTGATTTAAAATGACAAAAAGCGAACTGCTCAACACCCTTAAAGCCATCGGTTTATGGGTCGTTTGTGTTAATGTTGGATTTATGAGAAAAAATCAAAAGTAATTTTGTTTAATACTTTGTATCGTATTCAATAAAAAATCTGAAAAAACTTTTTTAATTTATTGGTTGTTAATGAGTTAATAATACGTTGGTTTATTTCTGCTATTGTTCGTATTTTGCAATAATATTCGCTGTGTCAAATAAAGTTTATTTAAGATCACGCTGTTTTTTTATATTTATGGGTTAAAATTTTTAGTGTATTTTGTTTTTTCTGTTGAAGTAGTGATGTGTACTTAGCGATATTGCCTTAGGGAAGCTGAAGACGGCTGCCCAGAGGTCAAAAGATGTAGTTTACAGATATTTTAATTAATTACGAATTATAAAAAAAATTTGAACTACAATATACAGGGTGAACATTCAGGTTGTATAGGCATCCGACCTTTTTTTTTCTTTACTTTATTTTTTTTTAAATTCTCTTTATCAATATTCTATTTTTAGTTGAGAAATGTCAAAGGTATTTATTTATTTCACTAGTTACAATTACCTACTGCAATATTTATATTGATTTTATGTTTTCTATTTTAAATATTAGTTCCTACTATAGTTTTAATAATGCGGTATGCGCTTAACGATTTATTTATATTTTTTGCGATTGTTCATGTATGGATTATGAGTGTGTTGAACAACAATAAACATTATTATTATTATTATTCGTCGTTCAGGGTCAGAAAGGCTGGTTGTTGTGCTGACAACTGAAGATTCAAGACTCAATACCGAAGACTTAAAACTGAAATTGAAGATCGAGGACCGAAAATTGAAGACACAACATGGCAGAAACCCATTCTCCTGACTCAAACAACCCCATAGCAGGGAGCCAGTTGAATCCCACAATGAGCACGGAGGACGGTGACAATGCTGTTTGCGTCAGGTCGACTGACCTAAGCACAAAACCATATTCCGTTACATCACTGATACCATTACTTTATTTCTTCAAAAAATACGAACCGGTTGAATATTAAAAAGCGGTTTAACCGGTTTCTTTAACGACGAGAAAAAAAAACGGTTAATCGGGAAACCGGTTTCCGTTACCCGTTATGGTTGAAGGTAGCCTTCAGCTGATCCCCTTCCATGAGGGTTTTCCATTTAGAATTTGCTGATCCATGGCTTCTTCTCCAAGATCCCGACCCAACAGTGCTTCATTTATCATCTCAGCCGCAACAAGCTATTTAGTCATATTATATTTTTTCTAGGCTTTGGGCGTCCTTCCACGTTTTCCTATTCTGAACCTCGACCACTTGGCCGCCCTTCAACTCGCCCTTTTTCTGCCGTCAAGACTCGGTCCGACCGTGCTAGCGCCGGTCAGGACGGTAAGGAGTAAAAAACCGGTCGCTGCCGTACCGCAACCCAGCGGCGGCTTCGTTTCGTCCATTCAAGCGAAGAGTCCGGCGAACGTTTCGCCTACTCCACCGAAAAAAACGGCAGACGATGAAGGTTTTACCATGACGTTGTCTACAGCGGCTTACAATTACATCTCAAAAAGTGACGGTGTATACTTCAGAAATCTGGTGGCGCAGCATCTCCACGTTGTCGCGACTCTCGACAATCCCAACGCGGACACGCTGCCCACGTGCAAGCTGAAGGGCCCCCATGGCAATTTGGAGAAGGCGAAGAACGCCATCCAAAACTTCTGCGACCAACACACAGGACTTAGACGACAACTCAAAAAACGATCGCTTATACCAATTTTCGATAGAGAATTTACCGGTCTCACCACTGTCCAAAAGAATTTGGATTCCCTAAGCTCTACCGGCCATTTTTGGTTCTATAAGGCAATTCTGCTGCACGAGTGCATCGCTCACACTATCGCCTCAATTAAAGATTGCACCGAGTGCGAATACCAAAGTTGCGAAGAGAGACTGAAGGAAAGCTACGCGAAGCTGAACACCATTCTAATTGTCAAATTGCAAGACGACGAGGAAGCCGGACGTCACATGGAGATCTTGAGACAGTTCCTCGATCGCGACTTTGACGACGTCAAGCGGTCGTTTAACCACGTCTTCAATAGCGATCGACGAATTTTTCCCGATTACGACGAGCTAATGACGCAACTCGCGAACGCCACGACCGAAGAATTTAGGAATCCGAAAATTTTGCTGAGGAAGATATGCAGAATGTGCAGGACGTGCGACTGGGCCGATGACGGCAGGAAGATGTTCTGTAGGTACGCGAGGATAGTCATTCATAATTATCAAAGCGAGGATGTTAATATATTTAGGAGCGAATTTCTGAAGATTTTCCAACGTTACATTTTACAAATTAGAAAACACGGAAAAGTGCAAGAGACGACGTGTCCGTCTACTGAATAGTGATGTGCACGATGTGAACGTTGCGGTATTCTTTGCAACAGATTGTATGTACTATACTGTAATTTAATGATCATAAAGTTATTTGTACAGCACCTCTAGATATTGCCTTTTTTTAACTCATTCTGTAGATCGACGCCCGTGGTTTGCCTGTTCCTGATCCCATTCTCGGTTTGCTGCGTAGTAGAAGTACAACTTCTCTAGTTGCGCGGGTTCGATTCCCGGTGCCTCCAGTTTTTTTTACAGTTATCCTACCATCTTTTCCACTCTTCTTCGGCATCTCTTTCATCCCTTCATACTGGTTGTAATCTATCCCGCTTATTTTAAGTCATCATTATCCCTTCCCCCTTTTCCTGACTTCCCTTTCCCCTTCACGCCACTTTCAAGCCTTCCTTATTCTTGTACACACCCCTCCCCTGGTCACCAGAAATGGATCGCCAGCCTTCGGTAACCGGAAATGGCAGCAGCCAATTCCCCCCTCCCCCCCCTCCTCATCTTAATTTTTATTGAAACCTCATTCGCACGATTTATTTTCCGCTTTGCGTTTTCTAATGTGCTTCACCTTCTCACCACCACCGTTTCTTTCATACCTTCTTTAAACTTTTTTCGGTTTTCCACGGGTCCTACACGCTTTCTCCACATCTGCTTTACGCCAGGTGTATTTCTAGCCCCCCCCCTCTCAGCCCTACTTATGCACTTACATCTCTTGATCCCCTGGTCTTTTGAGCTGATTCAAGTCTCTTTTAGTTTGTTATTAGTGCCTCCTTTGCGCCTCATTTACACCCCCCCCCGGCCGTTCTCATGCATCTTCTACATTCCAGTTTTCTTCCCAAAACCTTCAAACAAACCTCCCCCCGCTGTGGATTAATCGCTTACTTTGGATAACTTGAAATGGAAGCAGCCGACCCCCCCCCCCCCCTCCCCCCACACTTCTTATTAAAACTTCGTTCGCGCTTTCCTTAGGTTAATAACGTATTTTTTAAGAATTAAAAGAAATGTGCTGTTTGCGTTTTGTCCGTCCGTCCGGACCCACTTCTGCCATTTCGAACTACTTCTAGGGGAATGGTCCTAGAGGATTTTTTTTGCAGTAGGTAGCCTATACCTTGAAGGTGTACCGGACGCCCATCAAATTTCGCTGTCTAAAAGGGGGGGGGGGGCCCCGAATTTTTTCCCTGCTGTTTTGAAAGTAAAACGTGCATAACTTTTACATACGACAACAATTGGTCTCAGATTTTGCATACGTATGCCTTTTAGTGGTGCCAAGTTAAACTTTAGAAAAATGAGAGGGGGGGGGGTAAACACATGTTCTGCTCTTTATGGTATTGTAATGAAAGCTCTCATCGAAATAAATTGGTTTGTACAAACTATAACTTTCCCGCGCGACTCTTTTCCGAGATCAGTTAGCGACGGGGTCTGAGGGGGGGGGGTTAAACATTAATTTTATCTCTCATTGTATTCTAATTAAAGGTCTCAACGAAAGGAACCGTTTTCTACCAACTACAACCCTTCTTTCTGTCGTCTTATCACAGTACGAGGGGGAGGGGGAGTGAAACTAGTTTTATCCTTTATGGTACTCTAATGAAAGGAATTAATTTCTACCAACCATAGTCCTCCTCCTTGACCCCTTACCGTGTTCGGATATATTCCCTTATATCTCCAGAACGGATGATCGAAAGAGGATACTCACAAAGGGCGATTGGAACATCTTCAAGAAATATATCCATTGGTGATGTCAAAACAAAACTATTTCGGTTAAAAAAATGCGCTTCATTGCACAATTTATACTTGTTTACTCTTCCTTCAAGTCGGCAGCTCCATAGCTCCTTGGCGTCAAGCCTGTCTGTCCTCGTCATTATTTTCCACCTCCTTTAGATCTTTTCTCGCGCCCCTCATACAAACTTTTCACGCAGTTTTTCAGCATCTCCCCTCTCTGCAATCTACTCTGCAAACTCCTCCGCCCACCCCCTTTCATGACTTGTCTGCTTAAATCGATCACGCGTCCTTTCAACCGTCTCGCCACCTTCCTCACGGTTCTTTTACCTCCCCCCCCCCCCCCCCGTAGGATGAACCGCCCACTTTGGGCATTCTGAAACGGAAGCAGCCAACCAGTCCAGACCCCCTCACCCCTATCCTATTCGTATTAACATCTCTTCGCGCTCCGCTTCGCCATTTATACCCTTTCTTCACATTTTCTTGGCGCCAGCTACATATCTTCTTTGCCTCTCCCTCAAGCCTTTCCCTCCTTTTTCTTCTCAGCGGATTCTAACTGCGAATTATGACTTTTTTCCATCTGTTTCTGCTACACCACCATCGCCATAGATCCTTCGTGATTCTTTTCCACCTCCCTCAGGTCTTCCTCAGACCCGCGTGTAAGTCTTCCTTTTCGTGCCTTATTCAAGGCTGTTTCGCAGTTTTTCTGTATCTATCCCCCCCCTCCCCCCTCCTCATTCCCGCTTACACTATCACACTTAGCTGATTAATCTCGGTTGCGATTTATTTTTCACGTTAGAGAAGGAAAGAGAGGAGCGATAAACGATGATCATAAACCGAAGCAAATGTTAATCAGTTTGCTCTTCCTAACAAACCTTCTTTTATCCCCCCCCCCCCCCATCCCTCTTCATTGCTGATATATAAAAGTGTTGCTTATTTTCACCTTTTCTTCATGCTTTCTTCACGCCACCTTCAATCCTTGCCGACCTTCCTGAAATGGAAGCAGCCAACTGTCCCTCCTTCCCCTCCTAATGAAACCTCGTCCGCGCTTCTTTAATTCTTTTTTTACTCTGACGTGAAGTCTTGTCGCCAGCTCCTTATTTTCTTCGTGTCAAGCCTACCCTTTATCCCTCATTTCTTTTATATCTGTCTCTTCTCGTCAGATTCTCATCTCCCTTGCGATTTTCTCCTTCGCGTTTTTAGTCTGCTTCACTCCCCCACCAGAAGAATCATGCTTCCTTCAACTTTTTCATCTGCCCCCCCCCCGGGCTTATTTTTGCCTTTTCCTCGCCATCCTTAATAGTCTGGCTTCATTACAGTCTACTCCCCCGTAAAGCTTTCGTAATGCTTCCCTTACGGCCTTTTCCTCTGGTTACCTGTCGAATTGTGCGCAGTCAGCTTGTATACTCCCCATTTCATTTGTGCTTCACCTCCCGTGTAATCCTGCGTTATAAAGACCTGACTTCTCATTCCCCTTTTCTTCACGCCACTTCCTTATTCTTGTACACGCCCCTCCCCTGGTCACCAGAAATGGATCGCCAGCCTTCAGAAACCGGAAATGGCAGCAGCCAATTCCACCCCTCCCCTCTCCCTCTTAATTTTTATTGAAACCTCATTCGCACCATTTATTTTCCCCTTTGCGTTTTCTAATCTGCTTCACTCTCTCTCCGTGGCGCCTCTTTCATATCTTCTTTAAACTCTGCTCGGTTTTCCACGTTTCCTACACGCTTTCTTTACATCTGCTTTACGTCAGGTGTATTTCTAGACCCCCCCCCCCCCACCTCCCAGCCCTACTTATACACTTACATCTTTTGTCTCCTGGTCTTTTGAGCTGATTCAAGTGTCTTTTAGTTTTTTTATTAGTGCCTTATTTGCGCCTCATTTATACCGCCCCGCCCCCCCGGTCCGTTCTCATGCATCTTCTACATTTCAGTTTTCTTCTCAAAACCTCCCCCCGCTGTGGATTAATCGCTTACTTTGGATAACTTGAAATTCGTTTTTAGCGCATTTTTTAAGAATTAAAAAAAATGTGCTATTGTTTTCGTTTTGTCCGTCCGTCCGTCCGGACCCACTTCTACCGTTTTGAACTACTTCTAGGGGAATGGTCCTAGAGCCCTGGAATTTTTTGCAGTAGGTAGCCTATACCTTGAAGGTGTGCCAGACGGCCATCAAATTTCGCTGTCTAAAAGCGCCCCCCCCCCATGAATTATTTCCTGAGATGCTGTTTTTGAAAGTAAAACGTGCATAACTTTTACATACGAAAACCAATTGGTCTCAGATTTTGCATACGCATGCCTTTAATGATCTTTTATCAACGGGCCGGGGGGGGCTCTTTGTATTCTAATTAAAGGTCTCAACGTTTTCTACCAACTACTGCCCTTCTTTCTGTCCTCTATCAAAGTACATGGGGGGGGGGGGGGAGTGGAACTAGTTTTATCATTCATGGTACTCTAATGAAAGGTCTCAACGAAAGGAATTAATTTCTACCAATCATAGCGGTTAAAAAATTTCTGGTCAATTTTTTGTTTACGTCTTCTTCAAGTTTTCTTCTCAAAACCTTCAAGCCTCCCCCTCCCATCACTGTTAATGAATCGCTTACTTTGGACAACTTGAAATGGAAGCAGCCGACTCCACCAATTCTTATTAAAACTTCGTTCGCGCTTTCCTTTTTTTTTACTCTTCCTTCACGTCGGCAGCTCCATAACTTTTTGGCGTCAAGCCTGTCTCTCTTCGTCATTATGTCCCATCTCCTTCAGATCTGTTGTAGCGCGCCTCATACAAACTTTTCACACGGTTTTTCTGCATCTCCCCTCTCTGAAATCTACCATGCTTTTTTCAAGCCTTACTTAGTATTAAACTCCTCCCCCCGCCTCTGTTGAATTCTAACTTTCTGCACATCATTCACTCCCACCGCCTTTCATGTCTTTTCTGCTTAAATCTATCACGCTTTCTGCACACTTCCACCTTCCTCACGGTTCTTTACCCCCCCCCCCCACGTAGCACGGATCGCCCACTTTTGGCGTTCTGAAACGGAAGCAGTCAACCAGTCAGACCCCCTCCTCCCGATCCGATATTCCTATTAACATATCTTCGCGTTTCCCTCCGCCATGTTTACCCTTTCTTCACATTTTCTTGGCGTCAGCTACATATCTTCTTTGCCTCTTCCTCAAGCCTTTCCATCCTTTTTCTTTTCAACGGATTCTAACTGCGATTTATGATTTTTTTTCATCTATTTCTCCTACCACCATCGCCATAGATCCTTCATAATTCTTTTCCACCTCCTTCAGGTCTTCCTCAGTCCCCCGTGTTGGTGTTTTTCTGTATCTATCCCCCCCTCCCTCCCCTCCTC